CGCGGGGCTCGAACTCACGGACCGCGAGATCGTGACCTGGCTGAAGTCGGACGCTTAACCGACTGTGCCACCCAGGCGCCCCTCGTCAGCGCTTCTTTATGAACGTGTTAAACAATAAGATCTAGCAGTGGGTCTAATAAGCATTGTAATTTTGAAGTATCGATAAGCGTTCATGATATTTGAGATGCTTGCGGCACCTGTCATGGGTCCGGGAAAGATCTGCAAGCTTCTGCTGGTCACAGGTGCCACTCACGCTACCGTTTTGCTGCCTACATTCATAATTGAGGGAGGTGCTTAATTGCAGTGAGAAGTTAGTGAGAATGAGGTGTTGTCGTTTCCCCTGCCCCGAACTCTTTCCCGAACTCCATAGACGAACAAAGGTGTCTCTGGTGTCAGCAGTCGGAAGAGTGGTCGCCCCGACCAGGGAGGAAGTGACCGGAGGGGAATCTGAGTCTGGGGGACCGGAAACAATTATTTTTCTTGACCTGGGTGCTGTTACCAGGTTTGTTTGGTTTACAGACATTCATCCACCTGTACACTTAGGAGACGTGCCCCGATCTGCGCGAATCATCGATTTCAATACGCGTTTTAAAAACACCTTTACGGGAACAGACGTATATGCAGGTGTCAGCTTGTGCATGCATGCACACACTCTCTATCTCTCTCTCTGTCTGTCTCTCTCTCTCTCACACACACACACAGACACACACACCAGTATATACCGGTGAGACTCTGTAGGTCTGTGGGCATACACGTGTCTCCAGAACCCTTGCAGGCATGTGGACACAGATGGATACAGTTGAGACAGAGAACACTATTTTTAGGAAATACTTCCAAGTCAAAGAGGAGGCTTCCTGATTTACTTGACTGGTGATTGCTGATGGTGGAGAGAATTGCCCTGCAAAGGGCTGTTGTCATCCAGGCTGGCTTTTTTTTTTCTTTGTTTCTCCCCCCCAACCCCCACCTTTTTTAAAAGAAAGACTAATGACTTTATGGCTTTTGTGAACATAATACAAGATCATCCTAACTAATTCAAGCACTAAAGGAAAGTACAGAAAGGAAAGTGTAAAATTACCCAAATTCTTACCAGCTAAGGGGAAAAAAACCATTCACCTTTGGTGATGAGTATCACAGACACCTTTCTTCGTTCACTCGAAGATGGAAGCTACACAGAGATCGCTTTTAGAAGATGGGAGCCCACTCCCTCACTTGCTATTTTTAACAGAGATGCTCCTTTAACTTCACTTGGATGGAACAGAAGAACAAGACACCGAAGGATGGGGTGGTTCTTACGGTGCTGGGTCCTAGGACCTCTGCTCTGACTTTCCCTCCACACATTCCTTGCTGCGCTTCCCTGGGGAAGGCTGTGTAGCGCTTGCTCACTGTTTACCTGTCACCTGGCCAGGTGCCTGCCTCACAGCAATCACGGTGCCTGGTCCTGGGCTCTTTGCGGGCTGTGTGCAAGGGCCGATGCGGCAGATCACTGGGGTCACTGGACATGTTTCTCGGGAGTGAGATCAAGGCAAAGCCTGCCTTTGGTTGGCGGAAAGGGATTCTGTCCTGGCAGGGATCTCCAACAGGTGTCCACCCTGCCCTCTTGAGCTGGTGCCCGGCCGTTCCTGGGTTTGATGTGGTAATTAGTGACACTGCCTCCCCCTTCCCGGTGGTGTCCCAGTCAGGAGCTGTGCCTACCACATCCTGTTTTGCTGGGACAGTCAGGAGCGCATTCTTTGGCCTCCATGTCATAGGCAGAGCCTGTTCGCACCAGGTCCTGGATCGTTTGAGGCCACTGGGGCCCACATTCCCCCGGTCTGGCGTCATACATGTGTGCCGGTTGGACACCCGCATGGATGGTGGTCACTGTTGTCTGCTTCTGCTGTCACTTGTTCAGATATGGGAGGAAGGGAGCAGGTGGGGAGGTGTGAGGAGCCTGAGATGCTCCATCTGAGTTTCCCATCTTTGGAAAAATGCTCCCGCTGGGGATCTCGGGGGGGGGGGGAGGGGATCCTCTGCTGCAGCCGTATACACCAGGGGGCCAGCACCTGCATGACTGTTACCCTGCTGTTTCCAGAAACCCGTGGGATTTGCCTGCGTCTCATTCAGCAGACACAGATGCCCCTTCAGTTACCAGAGGTTGGCACCCCCGTGCCCCAGGAGAAGTCTGGGCAGCCTTCCCCTGCAGGCGCGTGGTGCTGTGGGGAGACAGAGCGGCCCCCACCCTTTGGCCCCAGCGCCCAGGCTGCGTCTGCCTGGAAGAGAGACCCAGAGTTTGGGCATTGGCCCAGGAGGCCTGTGATCACCCTCCACAGGGCCCCAGGGGTCCCTATAGAAGGGACAAGCTTGAGAGGAGGGATGGCACAGGGTACCTTCTCGTGCCCTTCCCTCACCTATGTGTTCTTCATGATTCCCTCCATCACTCGCTTGTTCAGGACCAGCACTGCCACAGACCTGCGATAAAAAGATGACAGGCCCCATCCCTGCCCTAGGGAGCGTCCCTCCTAGTCCAGAGAGTGTCAGCACCTTGGTGGGAAGTATCTCAGTAGGCTCGGGTAAGGAAGCAACAGGTGCAAGGGCTCCCTTTTGTGTCGAGTGGGGCAGAGCAAAGGGCTTCGGTGAGGCAGCCACTCTTGCCTACTTGCCATCAAGCGTGCCCACTGGGATGGGAAAGGGACTGTCCCGCGGGTCCCCACGCGGAGCCCACAGCCCGGAGGACACGGGGTTTACCCAGGCCAGGGTCGGCCAGGTGTGTCTCTGGAGAGGTTGGGAACTGCGCCCGGGACCCTGCCCGCCAACCTCGTCCTCCCCTCCCCGCCCCCTGGGTCCGGGCACAGCATCAGGCGCCGCGTTTGTGTCTTCTGGCTTCCCCACAGGCCACTCGAGGACCGCCTGGGCCCCAGAAGCAGGATGAGAAGATGGCAGACTTCCTGTTACCTCGGGGCACCAGCAGCTTCCGCAGGTTCACCCGGGAGTCCCTGGCGGCCATCGAGAAGCGCATGGCGGAGAAGCAAGCCCGGGGCTCGGCCGCCTCGCAGGAGAGCCGGGAAGGGCTGCCCGAGGAGGAGGCTCCCCGGCCCCAGCTGGACCTGCAGGCCTCCAGAAAGCTGCCGGATCTCTACGGCAACCCGCCCCGAGAGCTGATCGGGGAGCCCCTGGAGGACCTGGACCCCTTCTACAGCACCCAAAAGGTGACGGCCGCCCACCTCCGTGCCCACGCCTTCCTGCGGCTCCCTGTCGACAGCAGATAGGGAGAGGGCCTCGCCTCCACGTGGGGCTGCGTTCGGGGTAGGCTCCCTGGGCTTCGAGGGAGTGAGTCATTGGTGATCTATATTCCGATCATCTGAATTTTATTCCGGAATAAAAGCCAGAATGACGCAGCCTGATACGGTTTGGTGTTAGAAGGGAAGGAGCGGGCAGAGCCGCGGTTGTCTTGCCTCCTTGTGGAGTGCCCTATTCTGGAAGTCATCTGTGCTTAGACTTTCCCCTCTGGCAGACTCCTCCCCGTCTTGGGTCCCAGCGCACAGCACGTGGTCCCCTCTCCTACTAAGGACACCCTGTGGCCCGCACGCTCTGGCGGGAGGGTTTGCCGGGCGTTGGCCGTGCCTGGGCAGCTCAGGCTGGGGGCCGAGGCAGTGGCTCCTGGGCCTTGCAGGCTGGCAACGGGGACTGTGAGGGCCGGTGGGACAGCCGAGAGGGGTGGGGAGGGAGCTTACTCTGCCATTGTCCCCCTGGGTGTGGGGCGGGGAGGTGGCTTTTGTCCACCGGGAAGGGTGACTCAGGCTTCCTCCCAGTAAGGATTTGCACCCAAGAGGTGAATTCCCCCCATCTGGGTACCCTGCCCCGGCCTCACCTCTCAGACCACCAGCAGACATTTGGTGGAGGCCTTTCCCCAGACGGCCAGGTCCTAAGGAAGAAGGTGGCTGGAGGGCAGACAGAGTCGGTGTTCACAGGGCAAGTATGACCATGCGGCAGTGTAAGTCCTGTGTGTCTGTGTCACCAGGTGCCTGTGTGTGTGTGTGTGTGACCGTGCCATGAGACTGCATTTAAGAGACCAGGAGCTTGAGGGTGGGTGTGCTGCACAGTTGTCTCCGTGTGTGATGTGAGTGGGTGTGCGGGTCAATGGGTAAAGGGAGAGCCCACCCAGTCGACATGCGCAGCGAGAGAAGACACCTTGCACCTGCTGGCACTTGCCCCTGGTTCAAGTGACACAGGTGAGGTTGAGGCCGAGGGCTGGGGCGACAGTTGGGCTCAGAGTAAGGCTGGAAGCTGGGATCCGTCGGGGTAGGTGGGCCTAGGTCCCAGTTGGCCAGAGCGGGAGGTAAGAATTAGGGTGAGGGTTAAGGCCAGAGCTGATGGCCAGTCCAGGTTTCAGTGGCAAATGAGAGCGGCAGTTAGGTGGGAGTCAGCTGGGACAGGCCGGAACCGTGGCAGGGGGACCCAACTGAGGATGGAGGGGAGACTGGGCTGGGCTTTGGGGGCCGGGTAAGGGTTGAGGCTGGAAGTGGCCGGGGACACTGGCTTCCATCCCTGTGATCAGGAATACTTGAACCATGGCCTGGGTCTGACTGTGGCCTCTAACCTTCTGTCTCTCCTTGCTGCCCCCTGGCCACACTGCCTGAAGTCCCGAGGGGTGACACAGGTACCACAGCAGAACTTTTTGTCCTGACACATCCAGTCAGCTTATCTTTCCAGCTCAGATTAAATAGAACTTTGTCTCACCAGCTCAACCTTCGCAGAAGCACAACCCCTGAGCCACCTCAGCTGTGTCACAATAGCCTGGGTGGCTGGGGCAGCGGGAAGGGGCGCGCCATGTCCCTCGAGGGCTGTATTTGTGACGCGGGTTTAGCCTCCAGCACCTCCTGTCCACTCCCACATCCCACGGTGCTGTGTGGACAGTGTCTTCTGGAAGCCTGCAGAGAGGTCCGCCTTGGGCTGCTCAAGAACCCCCCCCACCCTGGAGAGGGGACACCCGGGTGGCTCAGTCAGTTAAATGTCCAACTCTTGATCTCAGCTCAGGTCTTGATGTCAGGGTTGTGAGTTCAAACCCCACAGTGGACTCTGTGCTGGGTGTGAGGCCTACTAAAAAAAAAAAAAAAAAAAAAAGAGGGGCACCTGGGTGGCTCAGTTGGTTGAGTGTCTGACTCTTGATTTCAGCTCAAATCTTGATCTCATGGTGTGTGGGATCGAGCCCTGAGTCCAACTCTGTGCTGATGGCAAGGAGCCTGCTTGGGATCCTCTGTCTCCCTCATTCTCTGCCCCTCCCCAACTCGTGTGTGCATGCACACACACAATAAATAAATAAATGAATAAACAAACAAACTTAAAAAAAAAAAAGACACCCCCCCCCCAGTGGGGGGAGACGCTAGGTCATCGGTCATCTCCTCTGGTGGGGGCTGCAGGGCTGACACCTATCCTGGACTTAAGGAGACAGGGCCTCAGGGCTGGGGTCTGCGTTTTGCCATCCCTGCTTCTTACCTGTTACAGTCTTCTCGAGGACCAGCTCCCTCATCAGTCCCTGTGGCCCCAGCGGGCAGGGAGGGGTCGGCAGGGGGAAGGGGAAGGAGCTGATCCTGGCCAGATCCTGGCCTCTGCTGTGATAACAGCTCGGCTGGGAGCATGCGAGGCCTCTTCCTGTTAGGGCCGTAATTTTGAAACGTAATTTTGCCAACCTGGCGTTCCCCTAAACTTGACCTGATCCCACTGCAGCCGTGGGCGACACCGTGAGGGCCCATTGACCTGCCAAACACACCAGCTGCCTTCCTTCCTCCCCCTCCCCCTCTCTCAGTCCCTCTTTTTCTCCCACCCCACCCCTTAGCCAGGGTTCTAGGGCTCTGAGCCGACACCTGCCCCCCAGAATCCTCTCTCCCCAAGGGCCGAGGGGCCACCGCCCCAACCTAAAACCCCTCTCTGTTCACAGACCTTCATCGTGCTGAATAAAGGCAAGACCATCTTCCGGTTCAGTGCCACGAATGCCTTGTATGTCCTCAGTCCCTTCCACCCTATCCGGAGAGCGGCTGTGAAGATTCTGGTTCATTCATATCCTTTGCAGTCGGTCCGTGCTGTGCATCTTCTCTGGGCCCCACGAGGAGGTGGGCAGGGTGTTTAAGGCTGAGAGCAGGGCTGTCCCGAGGGCCCAGGCAGCACAGTCATCACCTGGTGGCCGGTTGGATGGGCAGGCTCTTGGGCCCCACCCCACACCTGCCAAATAAGCCTCTGCGTTTCCACAACCTCCCAGGGGATTCTCGGGCACGGGAAAGTTTGGGAAACCCTGCTTCTTCAGGAGAGAAACGTCCTGGAAGCCAAGCTACTAAGGGATCCTTAGTAGGGATCCTACTAAGAAGACACAGGCCTGTCAGGGTCCGCTGACTCCGATATTGGCTCCAAAGTCCCCTCCCGCTGCCTCCCCACCCCCTTGCAGCAGGTCACCGGGGCTCAGCCAAGGAGAAACCGCTTCCTGGTAAAGAGGCCTCTGGTGCAGTCACACGTGGGCATCCTTCGAGGGAGGCGACACTTGCTTTTTGATTAGGTGTTGACAAAATGTTTGCAGTTTCAGAGTTATCTCAAAGAACTCCGGTTAGCGTTAAATTATATAAACCGCAGCCTAAAAAAGCTGCCGGCTGTGGAGGAGCACTCTGGGACTGCTGCAGTGTAATAAGGGACGGGACTGGCCTTTGGGCCCCAGGGGGGCCTCGTTCCGCCGCGTGGGACGTGGGACGTGGGACGGGGCGCCGGCACCCAATCGCGGCGGTTCTGCGGACTTCGGAAAAGGGGCCCCACAGATGGGGAGGCGGGGAGGCGGGCAGGCGGGGGTCCGGATGCAGACGGAGGCATCTGCGGCTCAGTGCGCCCGCCTGGGCAGCCTTCCTTGGGCTGGCAGCTGGCTGGGCTGTTAATCGAATCAGGGCCGCCTCTGGGCTCTGCGGTGGTGCGATGAGTCGTGGGTGTGGCAGGCGGGCCCAATAGCGCTCCCCGAGGGTCCCCCCTCCGTTCCCCACTCTGGATGGACCTTTTCTGAGGCCAAGGCAAACACCCGTTCACCTCTGGGCAGGGCAGGAGGCTTCGCGAAAACACCCTGCCCCGTGTCCGCTAAGAGGCGGACAGCTCAGGGGCTTCTCCTGCCCAGGCGGGGATGAGGGGTGCTGCTTCCTGGCTCCACTTGCTGCCCAGGTGTGCCTGAGCCTCACCCCAGGGGTTCAGCCGAGGGGCGCTTTGCCAGATTTGCTCTGTGCACGCAGCCGCGCTCTCCCCTCCTCCCGCCGGCTCCTGCCTTTCTCACAGGGCTCCAGAGAGCTGTGTGTGTCCAGGGAGAGTCTCACCCGCAGCCCCAGCCGCGGCTGTGGCAACTGCAGGGTGGTCTCCAGGGTGGACAGACGCCGTGGGGGAGGGGCCGTATTCCGGGGACCGCCTGCCCTTCAAAGCGAGGCGCCAGGAGCTCGAGATTGAGTTTTGAGCCATTCCGCCCACTGCTTCTAAACGCCCCGTAGATGCCCGGGCACTCTGCTGGGCACCGGGGTGTAGGGAGCTGAATAAGACTCTGTCCTTGGCCCCTTGGGAGTTTTGCAGTCCCCCTAAGAGTGATAAGACAGCTGCAGGAACGGTTGTGGTTGTCGTTCCTGCCAGCGTGTGGGCACAGCCTGGTGGGGACAGCGCAGAGGGAGGGAAGGCCGGCCTTGCTCGCTCTGAGCTGGTCCCCGCCTCACTCCAGGGGCGGGGCCTCCCTGAAAGCATTCTCCAGCTCCCACCTGGGGCTTCTCCTGCAGGTATCTAACCAACCCAGCACTGTTTGGCAGCCGCAGCGGGCCCCCAGGGATGCGACAGCAGCCCCAGGATTCCTCCTGCAAGGCTCTGGGCCGGGCGGGGGCGGGGGTAAGGCAGATGAAGCCAGGGAGGCAGTCGGGACACTGGAGTCCCCAGCCTGGCCAGTGTCCATGGAGCAGAGGCCCAGCCTGTGGGGTGCTCGTTCGACCCGGCGGGACCCACCCTGAGGCCTCAGCGCCGGCCTGTGTCCCCCAGGGTCGCTGCCCCAGGGAAGTGGCTTGCCATCGTTGAGGCCCCGCGACGCAGTCTCCCAGGGGCTGCCTTGACAAGCCACTGCGTGGGGATGGGAGCGCTCTGCTGGTGCGCCCCCTGGTGGGCTCAGTGCAGCGGGGGAGAAGAAGGGTCCAGATCCGCAGGATTTGGGAGCAGCCTCCGTGCCCTTGAGCCTTGCCATTCAAAGAGTGGGGCACAGACCAGTAACGCCCGCGTCACGAGGGTCTTGTAAGACCTGCCGAATCTCGGGCCCCACCCCACCCCTTGCATTTTCGCCAGGGCCCCGTGATTCGGGCACACGCCGCCCTGGGCAGTCGTTTACAAGTGTCGGTCTGTGAGGGCCCCATCATTTAAAATGCCGATTCCTGGCCCTTTCCAGACCAGAATCCCCGGTGGGAGGCCTGGGAGTCCACTAGCTTTCCGTGTGTTCCTTTTCTTCGTAATTGAAATATAATCCACATGCCACACAATTTATCATTTTAAAATGTACCGTCACCGCTCTCCAATTCCGGCACATTTCATCACCCCAAAAAGGAACCCTGTGCCCATTAGCAGTCGCTATGCGTTTCGAATGCACACAGATTTCGTGTGTTGAATAGTGAGTTTTCACTCTGCTGACATTCCTTTGTATTGTGGTAAAACACACACACACACACACACACACACACACACACACACATACACACACACCCCAAAATTTAGCATCTCGAGCCATATTTAAGTATACAGTTCAGCAGTGTTACTATATGCATATTGTCACGCAGCAAAGCTCTACCTAACCCTTCTGCGTCTTGCAAAACCGAAAGTCTGCACCCATGGTCGCCTCCCATTTTCACATCCGCTGACACCCACCGAGCCACACAGGTGCGCATTTCTGCACCAGGCCCTTCGGAAAGGGCAAGGGAGCAAAGACAAACTTAAGACAGGGCAGGAGGGCAGCCCCTGCTCTCAAAACCCACTCACTAGTAACAGTCCGGGCACTCACAGGGACGTGCTAGCGAGCGCCCCGTAATTCAGTCCAGCTTCGCTCTGTGCTCCGCCCTTGCAACGCGTCCCTGGGAAGTGGCCTACAAAGTAAATATGGGTATGTAGAATTATTTTTTTCCCATGTATTTTTGTTATAATCCTGCAGGATGTGTTCCTGCCAGAATCAAATAAAAGAAACCAACTGAACCCCCGATTGCACCGCAGCCACATTCAGAGAGGCCTCACGTTCACGCCGAGAAGCTTTCTGCCTTCCTGGGTGCACAGGATCTGCTCACAAAATCCTCCCACGTTTCTCTAGCAGATTCAAATGGGCAATCAAACCACATGTTTGTGTGTGTGTGTGTGTGTGTGTGTGTGTGTGTGTGTGTGTGTGCATGTTCATTGAATAGCACAAATATATGAACATGCCCCCCACGGCATCCCTTCTGTTTGGGAGGTTTTTTTTTTTTTTTTTTTTTTTTTTTTTTTGACTCCCCGGGATCTGAAGATAGACGGGCCAAGTTTCAGGCATTCCCCACCACCCATGCAGGCAGTCCTTGCTGGCATTTTAATCATGAGGCTGGGAGTGGGTGTTTGGGGACAATGACACGACAGGATTGAAGATGTTCAGCTGAGCTCAGACCTCGAGAGCTGGCCTTTGCCTCTGCCCACACACGGGGCCGGCTCAGTCATCGGCCTGAAACTGCCAGACAATACAAGCAGGTGTGCCCTGGCCGGCTGTGCCCCTGACTCATCCCTCTGGTATCGGCTGCATGCTGAGCTCCATGGGGGACCTGGGGATGCTCTGGGCAGAGTCACGTGGACTCCAAGCACCTCTAGGCAGGAAGAGACCACACACGTACAGGAGTGACTGAGCGCAGCGGAAGGGCCATGTTCAGGGTCGGGAGAGCCAGGCAGGGTGTCAAGCAGTCAAGTGGCAGAGAGACTAGAGTTTGCTGCACCTCGTCCTAACCTGTCCTTGTGTCTGGAAGAGCCAGGACAGGCAGCTCTTGTGATTCGCCACCCTGGGACCCAGGCCCCGCCTGTCTGGCTCTTCCCCAAGCCTTGATGCTGGAGTTCAGCTCACCTATGTCTGTTCAGCCAAGTCTTCTGGTCCAAGGCAGCCTGTCCACCCTGTTGTTCTCTGCCAAGGGGCCTTTCCTTCACTCTAGCGAGATGGGTGAGAGGGGTCCCCCCAGTCAGCCCACCGTGCTTCACCTCCACCGGATGCGCCGCTGGATTGCTGAAAGAACCCTGCCCAGCCATGGGTGCCTGTCTAAATGACTCCTCCAGGAAGCCTTCCTGCCCGGCCCAGCAAGAGGCGGGTGTCGTTTCTCATAACGTCCTATCTCGGAGCTCTTCAGACGCCTCCCTGTCTCCCACCCGGGGCCAGGCACACGTGCTCCTTAGGTCTGTTCTTTAAAATGGCAGCTAATTGCGATCCTCCCCCCCGGGTGGCAGTCTGCTCCCACTTTACAGAGCCCGTCACTCATTGACTTACTGCCCTGAGAATGGCAGAAGCCAAGTGTGGGGTAGCATTCCCCCTTGGCGGGTGGGGACCTGAGGCAGCCCTTCAGGCTGGACCCTCGGTGTCGTCATGCAGAGACAGGGCAGCCGGGCTCAGCGTGGGGGGCTCTGTGCTGGGCCAGCCGGGGCTCCAAGCCAGGCCGTGCATTGACCAGCTTTGCACCGGTCGTCTGTGGCTGCCTCAAGGAATTACCACAACCGTAACGGCTTAAAACAACACAAACTCATCATCTTCCAGTTCTGGAGGTCAGAAGTCCGAGAAGGTCTCACTGAACTCCAATCAGGGTATCAGTGGGGCTGGTTCCTCTCTGGAGGCACCAGGAAGAATCTGTTTTCTAGTCATTCCCGGTTTGTAGAGGCTGCACGGACCCCTTGGCTTGTGGCCCCTCCGTGTGCAAAGCCAGCAACCGCTGGTGGCGTCTTTCCCACCTGGCTCCTGTGTCCCTCTTCCACTTAGAAGGACCCTGTGCTGACATTGGGCCCACCCAGACAATCCAGGGTAATCTCCCATCTCAAGACCCCTAATTTAATCATACCCACAAGGTCCCTTTGGCCATAGAAATTAACATTCGTGCTTGTCAGGGATTAAGATGTGGTTGTCTGGGTGGTGGGGGGTGGAGGGCTGCGGTTCTACCTGCTGTAGTCACTAGCAGCCTAGCCTCGTGCCTCAGTCTCCCCCCGTACAAAAGGGAGACCAAATCCCCCCTCATAGAGTTGTGGGGAGAATTGAATTCGTTAATGGTTGGTTACAGAGAGCAGAGCCTGGCCCCTAGGAAGGGCTCAATAAATATTTGCTCTTTAGGGTCGTTCCTTTCATATTCCGGCAGTCACCTGGGATCCCCAGTAGTGGATCCGTGGGGGTGAGTAAAGCTGTCTGAGGGGCGAGTTACCTGCCCAGTAAGGAAAGCCTTGGCACAGAGCCAGGGTGTGGGGAACGTATGCATGTGTCAGGGAGGAGGAGTTAGGCTCGGCCCTGGAGACCTGAACACAGGCAGAGGGATGGGCAGCTGTCGGGCTGAGGAACATCCCTCCCCCACCCCCCACCCCCCACCCCACCCCCATCCCCGGAGGGATGTCTTCCCACCAGGGAGGAATCAGGACTTCCTGGAGCCACGGCTCTGAGCTGAAAGGCTCTGCTTTAACTAAGGGAGATTCCCAAAGCCTGATCTTCTTTTACCTCAGGTGAGAAATTGGAGAATTCATTATAAACTGGTGGGCCTTAGTGTTCCTCAGTCCCCTAGATTCCCTAGACGACTAGAAGCGCAGAGGGCTCGCACCTAGATTCTCCGAGAGGCCTCCCTCGCCTCCCCTCCCCTTCTCTAGCTAGCAGCTTCATCTCCCCACTTCCCAGCAAGTCAGCACCCCAGCTCAGCCCAGTCTCCAGTCTGACTGCACCAGGCTCCGGCTCAGACCTTGCAAAAGGGTGGAGCTCTACTGGAGAGGAAAGAGGCAGGCCCCGAGGGCTCAATTACTTCAGCTCCCCGGCAGCCCGCCCGTGGGGATCCTGGGGATCGCAGGCGGCCAGCTGCTGCACGCGGGGCTGGGGCCGGGTCGTGAGTCTGGGGGCAGCCAAAGGGAGCCGTGGTCTCAGCCTCTCTTCTTTGGCTGGGGAGGGAATTTGTGAGAGTACCAGAGTGTCCCTGCTCTGGATCAGGCCCCTTGGGGGTGCCCTAGCCCTTAAGCGGCCCAGGGCCTGCCCCTTGCTCCTCCATAGGCCTTGCAGAGGTGAGAGAGACCATGGAGCTTAGTTACAGCTCCCTCCAGCTTGACACAGCAGAGAAGTAGCCAGAAGGTCGGGGATCACCCAAGGCCTGCGGCAGTTCAGTTCAAGGCCAAGGGCCCAGAAGGATGCCCAAGACGCAGTCCCAACATTTGAGGAGCTTCCCTTCTCCTGGGGAACAGATGGACATTGCTATTTTGGGAGCAACCACACACGAAAAGAGATGCCCAATGCCCTGGGGGTGCAGAGGCTGCAGCCACCAAGTAGTCAGAGCAGGCTGCTCAGAGGGGGTGCTCCTGCTCAGAGGGGGTGCTCCTGCTGAGGAGTTTCTTGACAAAGGAGGAGGGCACTAGGTGGAGCGTGTGCAAAGGCAGGAAGCAGTTTGAGAAGCCGTCACCTGCACCCTCGGGCAGTGTGTCCTGATGAGGTATGTGAGTTTTCGCAGCCGAACGTTCCTTCAGCGAAATCCTAGGCCAAAGGCGAAAGGCCTTTGGGGCAGTGGGGGAGAGACCTGGGAGCCCCACTGCCAGGGTCTTCCTCTCCCCCCAGCCGTGGCCCCCGAGGAACAGTTTATAAATCCCACCTCCCTGTCACTCCGACGCGGCCCTGGGTGAAAGCCTCTGTGGTCTGGGTGTCTTCCTCCCTGCCCTCCAGGATGGACCCTCCATGGAACTCTACTAAGGGTGCGGTGTCAGCTGCCGGGTCCCTGGCGGGGGCTGCGGGGAGGGGAGGGACAGGACCCGCCTCGGTGGGAAGAGGCCGGCAGGGACTGGCACAGCCCCAGTGTGTCCCCCTCGGGGCCGCCGCCTCATCGATCTCTTGGCACCGGCCTGGCGGTGACAACCCCAGGGGCAGGACCCTCGGGTGGGAGTGGCCCGGCCGGCCCCCTGCATGTGGCTTTCCTTGACCTCCGCGCCACATTCTTCAACATGCTCATCATGTGCACCATCCTGACCAACTGTGTGTTCATGGCCCAGCACGACCCCCCGCCCTGGACCAAGTATGTTGAGTGAGTATCTTCAGGGCCTCTCCAGCCGGCCCCTCCCTCCCTTCCTTCCCAGCCCCTCCGGGGGCCCCTGAAGTCACCCCAGAAGTCGCCCGAGGGACTTGCCCACCTGGAGGGTCCTTGGCCCAGCCCCTTCCTTCTCTGGCCCCTCCTGGTCCTGCCGACTTCTCCCCTTGAGCTGTGTCGTCAGGGGAGGAAGCCCTCCGGGTTAGCAAAGTGGGAGATCCCTCCCTGACCCGCCCTAACAAGGACCGAGCGCACTGGGGAAGGCTCAGAAATAAAATCCTAATAATTTATCGAGCACTTAGTGTGTGCCGGGCCCTGCCACAGAACGGTAAGCCTCGTGTGCTTTGACCCTCGGGGCAACCCGATAGGATGGGTACAGCCACTGTGCCCCTTTGACCGGAGAGGAGGCTGGGAGTGGGAGGCGCACCTCGTCCGACGTGGCGTGGCTAGGGGGTGTGGCAGCCGGGCAAGGCCCAGCACGGTCCCCATTTCCGCCCTGTCTGTACTGCCTCCTGTGACCGTTTGCAGTTTCAGAAAACTGCTTCTAGTCCTTTCTCCTCAAACGACAGTACCTTGCCCACAAGTTCTAAAGAGACCTAATAGGCCCTTGGGGCATTCGGTGCCGGTTCTCGGGGAACTGACAGAATGTTAGGGAGGCCCCTCTTACCAGAGTGGCTTGCTTTGCGGCTCTCTGTGTTCACACAGGACCCCCAGTGTCCTCGGTGCCTCTGGGACGAGGGGGGTCGCACCGGCGTGGGGCAGCTCCCCTTGCAGCCCGTGGGCCACAGCCCTGGCATCCGGGCATTGGGATTCTTCAGCCCAGCCCACCCAGCCTCAGGTGCTACAGCCTCAGCCCCCTTTCCAAGCCCACCCTGGACCGTTGTATACACCCTCCTGCAGGAAGTTGAGGACGGGCTGTCTCTAGCCACGGAGGAGCCGCAGCAAGGGGGAGGGAGTGACGTGATCTGAGTGTCCTCCCAGGGCCGACCCAGCGGCCACCCTTTTCCCGGTGAGGCACATGACCCCCAGGTCTGGGGTGAGGAGAGGAGTCGAGGGTCTTCTTTGGCCAAGACAGCCAAGGGGCAAAATGGAAAGTTCAGGTGGGCACATGGCGGGCGCTCAGCAGCGCTGAAGGAGCACGTGGCTGTAGAATTGGTCCGATGTTTGGAACAAAGCTCCGGCTCACGGGGCATGGCAGAGGCCCCGGCCCGAGGGCTCCTTAAGAGAGGGGCCATCCAGGGCCCGTGGCATGCCTGTGAGGAACCTGGCCACCCTGGCCTGCGGGCTTCAGCCGCCCTGAGAAGCCTCGCCGGTCTCTCCTCCCAGGTACACCTTCACTGCCATCTACACCTTTGAGTCTCTGGTCAAGATTCTGGCTCGAGGGTTCTGCCTACACGCGTTCACCTTCCTTCGGGACCCATGGAACTGGCTAGACTTCAGTGTGATTGTCATGGCGTAAGTACCTTGCTCTCTGGGCCGCGCCGTGCCACGCCAGGCCACAGAGAGGGTCGTGTGCACCCTCCCTGGCCCCCGACCGCCGGGCCCTCTCGGCCCCCTACTCCAGTCCGGGTAGAGCTTTGCAAGTTCTGTAGAGCAGCCCATCTCACTGCTGTGGCAAGAGGAAGACAGGACGGACGCCCTGAGCTCATCCTGGTGGGCGTGGCGGGCAGGCTTACGGGCGCCCCTGTGGCCCCGTGGCAGCCAGGGACATCATTAAGATTCAGGCTTAGCATCCTCTGCCCTTTCCACCAAGGGAAACCAGTGTTACAGCCCCAAATCTCTGAGCCACTGTGAACAATGACCTGGATTCCCCAGGGATTAAGAATGAATCAGCAGGAAAGAGAAGGAGCCTGGAGAAGTGACCGGGCATCCCCAGGAGCCCGTGCCAGGCACACCAGTGCTGTCTCCACTCGGAGACTCCCCATGTGGCACGTTCTAAGGCACCGGTCACTGACATGATCCAAGGGATCCTCACACCGGCCAGAGAGGTATCGCAGATGGGGATTCCTTGTCCCCATTTGACAGATGAGAAAACAGGTGCCAAGGACACACAAGGAGCCTTCCAGAGAGTGAGTGTGAATATCCGTGGCCCTGCTGCCGTGCAGGCTGGGGCCTCACTTCTCTGTCTAGAAAGAGACCCTCGCTGAGGCTGGGCTGACGCGTTCCACTCGGGGTGTGCCGGCAACGGATGCTGTGTTCTGGTGGGGGTGGCTGATCAGGGCGGGCCTCCTGGGCAGAAGTCGTGGCCCGGGCTCGGTCCTCAAGCCCTTTCTGAAAGCCTGATGTGCGCGCAGGACCCCGTGTGCCCAGGCCTGGGCACCACACCTTGGCAGGAAGCAGAGCCTCCACTCCCCAACTTCTGGAAGCACAGTGTTGGCCCGGCTGGAATCAAAAGTTCAGTTCAGCGCCCACCTTCTCGGATTCTCAGATTTACCGCATCCGCCCGTTCGCGACAAGGTCCGCTTCGCCCCGGATATGAGCAGTCCTGCTGTCAGCTCAGCCATGCCATGGGGAAGGGAGGGGAGAGTGGGCAGCCGGACCCTGCTGATGGGGCACTTTCCAGCTAGCTGGAGAGTCTGGTGGTTAGAAAATGCATCAGGACCTGTGTTTCTAGGTGCATTGCTTGCAGACCGACTCCAGCTCACCAGTTTACAGGTAGGGGAACTGAGGCTCAGAGAGATGCTGCCCCTTGCCCAAAGCCAGTGTAGACCTCGGCCTGGGCAGAGCTGAGTGAGCAAGGGAGAGCGTAGTGGGGGAGGAGGCAGCACGGCAGGGGACAGCCGTGTGGCTTTGCAGGCCATCGTGCGAGCCCCGGGGCGTGGGAGCCACGGGCAGTTGAGAGGAGGGAGTGACGTGAGCTAAGCTACATTTACAAACATTTTTTTAATGTTTATTTTATATTTGAGAGAGAGAGAGAGAGAGAGAGAGAGAGTGCGAGCAGGGCGAGCGAAGCAGGCTCCGGGCTCTGAGCTGTCGGCCCAGAGCCCCGATGTGGGGCTCGAACCCACAAACCCCAAGCTCATGACCTGAGCCAAAGTCAGATGCTTAACCGACTGAGCCACCCAAGGGCTCCCTGAACTACATTTTATAAGGTCACCCGGAAGCTGGGGGGCTGTTTCAGTAGCTGGGAGAGAGACAGTGGCTGGGACGAAGGTTTAAGTAGAAGAGCTGAGGAACATAGATTCTGGATGTACTTCAAGGGCTGAAAGGAGACCCCAAGGTGGTTTCGGTTAGGGCAGCTGGGTGAACAGGGTTACCGTTTGTTAAAATGGAGGGTGAAGGGAGGAGCTGACTGAGGGAGGGAGGAAATCAAGAGTCCAGATCAGAATGCATTAAGTTTGAAAGCAGCCAGGGTGAGATATGGAGCAGGCAACTGGATATTCCGGTCTGGAGATCAGGAAAGAGGTCCAAGGTGGAGGTATATATTTAGAAGCCATCAGGGTGCAGATGATACTTGCAGCCGGGAGACCAGATGAATCATCTAGAGTGAGCGTGGCTGGGGAAGGGACAGCGCCTGGGGACCACACCATGGGACGCTCCAGCATCTCGAGGTCAAGAAAGAAGGGGTAAGAAAAGGAGCCTGGAGGGCACTGCCAGAGGGGGTGGAGGAAAGCCTGGACAGAGGACTGTCCCGAAAAGCCAGCTGAGGAGCGTGACTCCACTTGAAAGAAGCCCCGAGAAGGCTGAGGAAGGTGAGATCCACGGCAGGACCGTTGCAGTCCACGACGTGACACCGCCGATGACCGTGACAGCATTGATGGCCTTGGCCAGAGGAGTGAGGGGACATACGCCTGATTAAACAGGCTCAAGAGAGAGTAGGGCACGTATAGACATCCACCTTGTGGGGTTGGCTATAAACAGGACTGAACATAGGATGCTGGCTGGGCTTGGGGAGACGGCCAGAGGAGCACGAGTAAAGAAGGGAGGTGTCTTGGTAAGGGGGTGTGCATGATCCGGGGGGAAGGGAAGCTTGGCAATGGAGGGGGATGCGTCGCAGGAGCAAAGCCCTTGAGCTGGCCCGAGTGCTGGGAGTCCAGGGCCCAGGTGGAGTAGGGCACTGGCCTTAAGAGCCGGGAGGGCAGAGTTTCAGACGGATTGGTAGAGTCGGTGATGAGAGAAGAGGAATTTCTCTTCCGATTGCTTCTATTTTCTCCACGGTGAGAAGCGGGATCATCAGCTGAGAACCCAGAGTGGGGAAGAATGTCTGTGGTTTGAGGAGAGAGGGAGCCCTCTCCACGCAGAGCTGAGACGTTGCACTGACTTGGGAAGGGGGTGGGATTCCCATGCCAGGCCCAGGCCCCGGGGTGCCCTGTGGGAGGCGGGCAGCGATCCATGGGCCCCCTGAGGGCCTGGTGTCACAGGAAGGGGGCTTTGGCAGGACAGGACACGGCATCTGCGTGAGTCTTTCCGACCTTCCCATCCTGGAGCCCGAACAGGACTGTGTCACAGCAGCCGTGCTCCCAGACCCTGGGTCTCTTGTTTGACAGTAGGAGCCAGGCTTTGGCCTGTCTTCAGCCCATGTCTCTGGGAGATGCTCTGCACGACCTCGGGCCTTTAGCATGTCCTGCTGCCTCGTCTCATGAGAGAATCTCGGTCTCGACCCCCGGCCCCCCCCACCCAGCCCCCAGGACACTGCCTCTTCCGCTTGGCATCATAGAGCAGCTAGGTGTGCCTCACGGAGGTCTGCCTGCCTCCCCTCTGTACGGGGGGCCAGCGGTGACAAAGCAGAACGGAGCCTCAGAGGCCAGCAGGCTATTTCCAAGTTCCTGAGTGTGTCACAGAAATGGCACTCACTTCCCCTGGGGCCGCATGGACCCACCGGAATGTCAGGTTTCTGCTCCGGGCTGGATTGCCCTGGCAGCTTTGAATGACGGCGGTTCTGCCTCATGAAAACAGGGACTGCCGTGGTGATGCAGCGGCATGCATCCTGCCACAGCCAAAGGGGTTCGGGAACGTGGGGCTCCCAGGATAATCAGAGGAGCCTTGGGTGGCGGAAATGTTGGAATCAATGAGACTCCCCATCCTCCGTGGTGCAGATGGGGAACTGGGGCTCCGAGGGAGCCTACCACTTGCCCCAAATTATGAAATGAATCAGCAGCAGTGCGGGAACTAAAACCAGGTCTCCTTACTGGAGAGGCACGGAGGTCTGATGTTTCCGGCCAGGTTTCCACCTGATCCCTCCCTCACTCGGTGTAGAGGCTGTGGGAGGGTCCGGGTTGCCGGGAAGCCTGCCAGGCGACCCCCTCCCCCCCCCCAACCCCGCCCCGGGCCAGAGTTCTTCCCGCTGCCCCTCCGGGCTGGGCATTACCTGCCAGTTAGCACAGCCTCCTACCTCCTGGGGTTGTTATGGAAACCGAACCTGGAGGGGAAGGGAGGCAGGGCAGAGAGGAGAGGGTGGGATCTACCTCTGCCCAGCAGCAGCCCGAGCTGGGGTTGTCTGCATCGATAGGAGGGCTACACCGGAAGGTGGGGGTGGAGCGGGAGGGGGGCCAGGGGGGGCCCTTGCTCTCGGTTCCTCAGCTTCCAAAAGGGCATCCCCCTGCCCTCGGGCTGGTGTGCCAGCGGGAACCCTCACCCAGCATCCTCTGCTCTTTCAGGGCCCACGATCACCACCCCAGCTGGCTGCCCCTGTCCGGCAACGTGGCCAGAGCACAAAGAATAGAGTGGCTTGGAGGAACCCTTTGCCAGGCTCACAGGGGCAGAGCTGTACCCCCAACCCGGCCACTGATGAGCCTGGCCCTTTGCCAGACACAGGGTCTCTCACCACACACCTCGGGGCCCCGAGAGAGGCCTCGTTGGAGGTCTAGGGCCCCCCCATGGGACGCAGCCAGGCAGAAGGAGCAGGGGCACATAAAAGGGACAGCAGCCCCCCATGTCATAGACGCGGCCAGAGACACGCAGAGCCCTCACCCAGCCCCACGTCTCGCCTCCGAGACTTCCTTCTCAGGATTGCTCTCCCACACGTGTGCTGCCCTCACAGACACACGGCCACCAGCCCCGCTCCCTCTCCCAGCCCCTCGGCCGGCCTTAAGCCTGCCGGGAGGGAGCACACGCCTCGGGGTCTTGGCTCCTCTGTGCTCAGTACCGGCTGCTGAGGAGGCAGACGATGAATGGAGGGCGAGCCTGAGGGTGTGGGGACAGCGGGACAGGCACAGACAGGCAAAACCCAAGCTTCGCACAGACAGGGCTTCCCTGGAGACGTGGGGGGACACACGGGACCTGTAAGGGACGAGAGCGGAGACGCAGGGACCGTTGGCTCTCTCCGATCTGCACGGCACTTTGCTCACTCCCTGTGACCAGAAGAGACAACCTCGAAACCAGTGTCCTGAGCAAGAAGAGCTTTTGGCCCCGGCCACGCTCACTTGTCCGGCAGCAGGAAATGGGGCCCAGAGCCACCGGCAGGCGAACCCGTGGATTCCATGTGATGGCCACCTCAGCCGCGTTGTAAACCTGACAGGCTTGTGGCAGCACCACATCTGGATGGAGAGTCCAAGCCTGAGAGGAGAATGGGGGGCAGAGGTTTGGGGATCTGCGTCATCACGGAGAATGGAACAGCCGTTGCAAGTAAAGAGGGAGCTTGGACCAAATGAATAGGTGTAGCTGGGCCAGAACGAGGGAGGTGACGTCTACTCCGCATCGGATGTTGGGGCTGCCTCTGATTGCCGCACCAGAGAAAGATTTACAAGCCGAAGTAGCTCCAGGGGGCGGCACCGAAGCCACACCACAGAAGGGATCTGGTGTAGCCAGAGGGAAAGCTCTGAGAATGTGTCTGCTGACTTCCCGTCTCCGAAGGGATGTGGTGAGTTAAGGAGGGAGCAGGCATGGGAAGATGGGAGGGCCACATGAGTGAACATGGAGGAAGCTGGTGTGAACCTAGCGTCCGAGCTGGACCAGGTGGGACCCGGCTGGCTCCAGGACTGTGCCCTGACACAGCCGACCGAGTCCTTCCCTGCCGACACCCACAGCCCAGAAGCAGATACAGAAGCTCTGAGCGAGTGGAGGGGCCTGGAGGTCCAGACTGGCGGACTGATTCCAGCCGCGCTATCAGCCCACCCTTGACACTCACCTGGCCTCGCTGGCCTGACATCCTGGGTCTGATGGCACTCAGCCACCAGGTCAGACACACTTGGTTAAAAATCAGATATCCTGAGTCCCCTGTCCTTTGTTAAACATCAGACACCGTCGCTTAAATGTCAGATACCCTGGATGTGAACTCTTTGGTTAAATATCACAAGTCGCTTGCCAAGGTCCCGACGGCCCTGGTCACACACCGTCCACGCAGCTCTTAGACACCCTGGTCACGTGGCCCATCCACGCATGCCCTCACACTCTACTTGGGCGGTCCCCTGCCCCCCGGAGACCGACTCCTTCCCCCTGTGCCTGTGAGGACCACGCACGGATGTCTGTCCAAGCTGTAGGTAGGATCGCCTCCGTCACCCGGCCCTGCCGAGTGTCCTGAGGTCGCTCCTCCTGTGAAGACCCAGGGTCATCCTTGGGAGTCTCCGGAGGTCTTGGGGTGAGACTTGAGGGGGCCTCGGCCCTCAGAGATGCTGCTGTGCCTCCATGATGATCTCAGCCAGGACCCGAGGATCCCACGGCTCAAGGCAGCCAGGCACCAGCTGATCACAGATCCCAGAAGATGCGGAACAAAACCAGGACCAGAAACTGGGCTCCCCTGTCACCTGGCCTGATACCCTGGAAAATGGTTTCCCTATCCACCCTGCTGTGTCCTCAGCCTCAGACCCTGCCGTGTGGCTTCGTGTCGGCATCCCCAGTGGCATGGACAGTGAGGCAGGGTAGTCGCCTCCTGGGGCCGGTTACGCGACCATCACCGAGAGAGCCGCCTCCTGTGTGGGGCTTCCCGTGTGGACATCCTTAAGTCACCTCACCGAGGTCCTGGCGTCAGGAGGGTTGAAATGAGGAGGAAAGCTGGAGGGAGCCCTGGGCCATCCGGAGCCCTCCCTGTGGGAGGGGGAGAAGGGAGTGGGCTGGTGGGGGAGGGCCGGCTGAGGTGCTGCTTTGTAATTCCCAATAACTGTGGTTTGATTCTGCAGGTATGTATCAGAAAATATAAAACTAGGCAATTTGTCGGCTCTTCGAACTTTCAGAGTCCTGAGAGCTCTAAAAACTATTTCAGTTATCCCAGGTAAGATGCCCAGGTTTGCCTCTCAGATCTCAGCTACAAGTGACTCTCTCTCTGTCTCCCCTCCCTCCCTCCCAACCGTGTGTCTCCTATTGGCCTGTTGTCACTGTCTTGTGTGTGACCTTCCCTTGTTACAGATACACAACTGAATTTGTGGACCTGGGCAATGTCTCGGCTTTACGTACCTTCCGAGTCCTCCGGGCCCTGAAAACTATATCAGTCATTTCAGGTGAAAATCAGGTTAAACGCCAAGGCTGGAGGGACACACTCAGGCCTTCCCAGCCACCCGGGGGCCAAGGCAACCATTGGGAAGGCCCCTCCGAATGTGCCTGTCACCAGAATACCTTTCCCAGAGCTTGGGTGGGGGGGGGCTGTCGGCGGCGGATACGGCTTTCCCCTCAAAGCCTCACAAAGCTTCTTCGGGGCTACCCACCCCGGCAAAGCCCACCTTCACGGATGCCAGGGGGGCACACGGCACCCCTGGCAGGTCCTGCATTGAACCCAAATTCTTCCCGAGATAGTGATGTCCTTCCCAAAGTGAACTCAGTGCTTTGAATAGCTAAAAGCTTGTATATGAATTGCTTCCACCTGAAGCATCGTCCTCCAATAAGGAAACAAAAAAACTGGATTTGAGAGAAACCGCACACACACACACACACACACGCACACACACACACAGCCAAAAAGGAAAACTCAGGGCTGAGTGCCCGGTCTGACATTGTGCCCCCTCTGGTGACATAGCAGCCACCGCCGCCGCAGCCTCCTTTTGTGAGACAGAGTGTACTCTGTGGACAGGTGTCATCGGGCCTTGGCGTCTAACAGCCCTCACTGCATGGTGCGGTAGAGGTTTAGCAAACCGTGCATGGTAGCCTCAGGAAGAAATTCTCCTCGACAGATGTTGGCAATTGTACCCGGGAAATCTAAGCCCGGATGGCCTCTCTAGAAAGCCAGGCCACCCCATCCATCCAGGAAGGCTCTCAAGAGGCTTATGATGATTTCACAGCCCAGAGGGCAGTGCCCAGAGGTTCCTTCCGGGGCCTTTTCTGGATGCAGCCACAATCAGAACTGGAGAAGGCACTTGGTTTAAGAAGGCAGCTAGAGACAGGTTGGATGCCACTGATCTGGGGAGGTATCAGAGCCGAGGGTAGAAGTAAGTGAACCAGATGGTCGCGTCCATTGCTGATTTGGAAAGCCGTACGTCCTGGGCCCTTGATCTGGGCCCATGGAGCCGTAGCGGCCCCCAGGGAGGCAGGGGCCCTGCTCTGAGCAACCTGGAGGAGTTCAGACTCTCCTTTGGTGGGGCTAATTACCTTATAGGAGGATCCCCACTTATGCTGGGTTCAAACTGAGCCTCTGAGTGCTCCTCCTGGCCTCTGAACCCCATGGGATGTGCACAGGGCCTCTTGTTGCCATGCTCCCCGCAAGTGGCCCAGACTCCTGCTAAGAGCCAGTAGCAGGTGGGGCGGTCTGCGCTCAGTGCACGGAGCCACCTCCATGGGGACAGGCATTGTCATTGGCCTCGGCGCCCACATTCATGCTCAGAAGCCTCAGGGCCTGTCCTCCGGGGTCCCAGGGACAACCTCGCATCACATACCCACAAGATTCGAGAAGCACACTGACCACGGCAGTTGAGAAAAGGCAAGTTCCAGTCTGTTTTATAAGAAAGGCTAGCAGAGGAAAATAGTTCTCAGTCCTGGGGAAAAGGAGGAAGCCTGCCAACCTCAACTCCGCCCCACCAGGACCTCTTCGAGGCATCCAGCAATCCAGTGAGACAGCAGGCAACAGACTCTGAATGTGGCCATTAGAAAAATGCTGTGGTCAGCATTATGGAAGGCTCCCTGGAGGAGGTCCCCTGAGCCGAGGCTTAAAGAGCCTTGGCCCTCTCCAGACCTCGGTCTCCTCTCCCACAAAATGGGAATGAAATCGGAACAGTTGGGGCTCTTTGCCCAGCCTGTTAGAACCTCGGTGGCAGGAGAGTTTCCCAGTTGATCCCCGGGACTCTTCCCTTCCTGGGTCTTTTCAGAAAGAAGTCCATTGCTTCATTGGACTCATTCTTGCTGCAAGTGAACTCTGTCATCAATGACAACTATTTAAAGGACTGGATCCTGTGCCTCACCAACTGATTGTCCACACGGACACCATGTCCACAGACCAGGAGGTGCTTTGCTGGGCCTTGAACTGGATGCTCTGGACCAAAGATAATTTAGCCTAACAGCTGAGGTAGGGTCCAGTCTGGGTGTGCAGGTTGCTGCCCACTACCCCTTGCTCTGTGCCCCCCGCCACATACAGAATGGGCAGGGTCCCCGGGCCCGGTGAGCAGGACCAGAGCGCGCTCACTGAGGTGTCCCAGAACCTCTGCTAGAGGTGAGGGGTGCTGGGCGACAGCACGGGGACCCACCTCCACCACTCCAGGCCCGGACCCCCGCAAGGTCCGCGCCTGCCCGGGGCGGTTGCCAACATCTGCCAGGACGATTTCCACAGAGCACGCTGAGAGCCTCTGAGCTGTGGGCAGGCGGCAGCCCCAGTGGCACGGTGGGAGGGCTTCCTCTCCCCCTCTCCCGTTTGCCCCTCGCTGCCTCCCTGTCTCGAGGTCATGGGCACAGCAGCTGTGGGCACGGCCACCACGGGTGCTCCTAACATATTAACCGGCTGGACGACGGACGGATGGAGCTTAATCTGAGATCTGGCCGCTTTGATGCGGGGTGGGGAGTGGGGGTGGGAGGCAGGGCCCTGCTGCTGGCGGAGAAGCCCCCTCACTCCCGGTGCTCGGCTCGAACTTGTCATAGGACAGTAGCTCAGTGTCAGACCAAAGGCGTCTACACGTGCTGTTCTGTCACCTCGCTGTGTGGTGCTGGCTTCTGCAGGGAGCTGGGCCGTGCAACTAACGTGTCACGGCCTCTTGGCTTTGGGGGAATGGGATGCATGGGGTTGGGTCCCAGAGGGACAGGGCAGAGGAGGAAAATGCAAATTAGGTCAGCCCCTTTCTTGTCCGTGAACCTTTCCCATGGCCAGGACAGACCCCTTAGGACATTACCCACCATGACCTTGCCACACCTCTTGACAGCCCCCCACCCACCATGCACACACCACATTCCTCTGTGTCTCTCTATCTCCGGGATCAAGGCTGATGCCTTTCCATCGCCCTGGAATGGGCCTGGACCTCCCACGGGTTACCTTTAACTGTCCTTCCCGAGGGTCACATTTAAAGGACAAGGCCTCGCATACCTTGGGACCGGCCAGATGGGGACAGGCTTTGGGGGTTTTCTTCCTCAAGAAACCAGCATTTCCCACACCCGTTTCATATATGGCTAGTGAAAAGCGAAACGAACGGGGCCCTCTGAAAATACAAGGCCAGACTGGACTTCTGCCCTGGGGGAATCCGGGCAGAATCTCAGTCGTGGAGGAAATGGGGGTTTGGGTCTGGAAAGCCCGAAAGAGGCTTGCCTCACCTGCCCCCACCTCAGGATGGCCCATCTGGCCCAGCACCCCCTCAGGCCTGGCCCCCACCCGATGGAGCGGGGAGCACGGTGCCCGTGGGTGACCCCGCCCCCTGCCCGTTCTTGCCTCCCCAGGTCTGAAGACCATCGTGGGGGCCCTGATCCAGTCCGTGAAGAAGCTGGCCGATGTGATGGTCCTCACGGTCTTCTGCCTCAGTGTCTTCGCCCTCATCGGCCTGCAGCTCTTCATGGGCAACCTGAGGCACAAGTGTGTCCGCAACTTCACGGCACTCAACGACACCAACGGTTCCGTGGAGGCCGACGGCCTGGTCTGGAAGTCGCTGGACCTCTACCTCAACGACCCAGGTGCAGCCTCGGTCTGTGGCCCGGGGAAGGGCTTTGTGAGGCCTCGCAGGCCTCGCCAGGGGGCAGACCTCCCCCGGGGCCGTTCAGGCCCTGCTTGATCCCCCGGAGACCCAGAGGTGTGCTCAGGATCCCAGTCCCTGCCCTTCGGACCTCCGGGAGAGGACAGAGGGGAGCAGACGTTGGGCCTGCCCTTGTGAGTTCTCAGGCTCGATGGCAAGACGCTTGAGGAACAGGACGGAGGGAGTGAGCTGGAGAGGCAGACAAGGGATGGCAGCTGCCGTGGCTGGAGGTGGGACTGACCCTAGAGAATCGAGAATGGGGAGAAGACCGGCCTGCCTGCCGAGAGGAGGGGTACTGAGCTGGGGTAGCGTGTGAGGCTTCCGAGGGGAGGCCCCGCCTGCCTGACATGGGATGTTTCAGCTGACGACAGTGTTCCGTGCCAGGATGTTGATTCCATACGCGTGCCCCCCAGAACCCCGAGAGGGGGTGGGAACAAACTCGGTGATTGCACAGTTTCGTGCACGCCCCTCCTGTCGTTCCACTGATACGTGGTTTTCTGTTCTCCAGGCTGATGACTAGCACCTCTCTTACCCGGTGCCGTCAGCCTGGATCAAGGGTAGACACTGGTGCGAGGCCAGGTTCCAGGCCGCAAGGACGCCAAGGGGCATTCTGAAGTTAGGGCCTCTTCTGTACCCCAGACATCCACTCTGGAAAAAAGGAACAGACAAAAACGCAGTGACTCCATTTGCTCGCGATTCAGCTGTGGCCGCATGGCAGTGGTTCTCAAACTTCCATGTGTCCCAGTCACCTGGAGGGCTCCGGAAAACGCTCGCTGCTGGGCCCCAGCCCCGGAGTTCCTGAGTCAGTAGACAGGGGCGGCACTCCGGGAAGTCACGTTGCTAACCAGGCCCCGATTGGTGCTCGATGCCGTGGGTCCAGGGACCACACTTGGAGAACTGCTGCAGAAAACTAAGGCGGGTGGTGGCGGGTGATGGGGACTGACAGACGGCCACAGAGAGGAGGGGACAGGACTGGTGGAATGTATGTCACCCGGTCCAGCCCAGCCCTGTCTGAGCAGACCAAGGCATGCCACGGTGAACGTAACAGGTATCACTTGCACCACCTGTGCACAGAGAAGTGGGCCCAGGCAGGGGTGCCTGGGTGGCTTGGTCAGTTGAGTGTCTGACTCTTGATCTCAGCTCCGGTCTTGATCTCGGGTTCGTGAGTTCAGGCCCCGAGTCAGTCTCTGCACTGGGTGTGGATCCTATTTTTGAAAAAAAAAAAAAAAAGTGGGCCCAGACAGAGCCGAGCAGTAGCCTTCCAAGAGCATGCAGTGACTCAGCTCCTGCCTCCTGGTTCAGGGCCCTTGCAGCTGTCCTCCTGAGTGCTCAGGCAGACGGAGCAGCTCTGCGGGATGGGTCTTCTGGGACTGTGGGGACCACTGGCAGCTGAATGTCTGAGGAGGAGCAAGAAGCAGGCCAGGGAAGCAGCTGGAATTGCCTCAGGCCTAGCCAGGCAGAGGGTCGGGGGGGGGTCAAGGGCAGGGGCAGAGGAGAGACCACCAGTGGTGTCTCTACCTCCCCAGAGCCCTGGGTGCCAACCGAGAACCCTGCGAGTCTGGGCCACACGTGCCCTTCACCGTCGGATGTTTCTCTTTCAGAAAATTACTTGCTCAAGAATGGCACCTCCGACGTGTTACTGTGTGGGAACAGCTCTGATGCCGGGTATGTGGCACCCATCCCCCGGAGCCACCTCACCCAGAAGGGGTGAGGTGAGGTGAGGGAGGCGGGGGCAGGGGGAGGTGTCCCCAGGTACTTTCTCAACTGACTGTGCTTTGAGGCTCCTGACCCCAGGCCTCACCTCTGTTCCCTGCCGGAGCCCTCGTATCTTGTCCACCCCACCCCCACCTCACAGGGAAGACAGCTATCAGGGGATTAAAAAAAAAAAAAAAGGCAGGGGGCTCAGATCTGCAGGGAGGGCGAACAGGGCCTACAGTGCCTCCCACCAGCCCGACCCTGGTTCCATTCCTTTCCAGAAGCCCCCCGCCCCCAGGGCTGCTCTCTTCCCCTCCAGTCTTTTACTCCCTCCCTGCCCATCTGTCCACTGGGTCTGGAGTGAGTATGGCTACCCCTCAACGGCCTACACTCTCCACCGGGACAAGCAGAGCCTACACCTGCAGGCTGAGTGTGGTGCCCAGAGATGCCCGGTGACCATGTGCAGCTCCCAGGGCCCTGGGCGTACGGGGTCTGGGTCAGCGTGACCGTGCCACAGTTGTGAGGCGAAGGGGACACACAGGCTTACCTGGCGAGGGAGGGGCTCTGTGGGGCCGCAGTCCTCCATCCCTCAGTACAAAGTTCCAGCCCTTCCTGTCCCTAAAGAGATTGTCTGGAAGGTCTTAGGACGATAGCAAAAGGCACGGAGGCCCCTTGGCGGCAGCCTCCCACTCGCCGAGTCCCCCTTCCCCCCACCTCTACGTCTCACGCTCATGAATCCAGCCCAGCAGTCCCTCTGAGCAGAGAGGCTGTCCCATCGAGCCCTGCGAATCATCAACGTGCCCCACTCTGTCTGCGTGCGCAGTCATGCAAATGGGCATCTTCTCCGGACGTGGCCAGGCCCCAGCCCGTCCGCCCCAGAACCATCCCTCAGCCCCGTGGCCTGGCATTCGACCTGGGCTCCGTGCTGCTCAGCCAAGCCTCCCTGCCCTCCCCCCACCGCATGCCTGCTCTGTGCCCATCTCCCTGTGGGGTAAGCAGCCAGAGGAAGAGACTTGTGAGCCAGCCCTTGGCACTTCCTCCGTGAGAGGAGAGGAAACTCAGATAGCAGCGGGGATGGTGTATTGTGTGGGCAGAAGGGAGCTGGATTTAGGCCCAGCTGAATACAGATGGGTAGGGACAAGGGGAAGACGGTGTCCCAGGCCGGAGGCACAGCACGAAAAGTCCCGGTGTCAGGCCCGGCAGTGCGGTACCAAGTTCGTGAAACTCAGCCTCGTGAAGCAGTGGGGCCTCTGCTAGGCTGCCCAGGGAGAGGAGTCCGGCCCAGGGAGCATCTCAGGGGGAGGGGGCCCCTTACAGCATGGGACAGAGTCTGTGTGTCTGACTGCAGGACATGCCCAGAGGGTTACCGCTGCCTGAAGGCGGGAGAGAACCCTGACCACGGCTACACGAGCTTCGACTCCTTCGCCTGGGCCTTCCTCGCGCTCTTCCGCCTGATGACGCAGGACTGCTGGGAACGCCTCTACCAGCAGGTACGTGGGTGCGCAGACAGCGGGGGGGACACCGGGAACAGGCCAGGGGCCCACTTACAAGTGATTAGCTAGAAGTGACCCCGGCAGCTTCTCCACTGGCAAGAGTTGAGGAGGCTCAAGGAACGGGGGACAGGGACGCTTGCATCCGAGGGAGGGGGACACAGTAAGCCAAGGAACTTTCTTTTTGCTGGTGACCAGGTACCCATTCCTTCATATGGGATACTCTGTGCTCTGTGAGTGGGACCCTTCTCCACCCTGTGTGATGGAATAGTCCCTTCCGTGGATGCAACATTTCCTCCGTTGACTGGAACATTCTGCCTCCCTCTACGGGTGGGACGCTATCCCCTGTGTGTGGGTCGTTCTTCTCTGTGGGTTAGAACACTTGCCTCTCCGGTAGAATATGCTCCATTCCCTCCCCAGGCTGTGGCCATTTGAACCCCTGGCACAGCCAGACCGGACACCTTGAAATTCCACGACCATGACCCAGAAGGGGCCCCAGTGAAGATAACCTCTCTCCCCTTACTCCCTCAGACCCTGAGGTCTGCAGGGAAGATCTACATGATCTTCTTCATGCTGGTCATCTTCCTGGGCTCCTTCTACCTGGTGAACCTGATCCTGGCTGTGGTTGCCATGGCCTACGAGGAGCAAAACCAAGCCACCATCGCTGAGACCGAGGAGAAGGAAAAGCGCTTCCAGGAAGCCATGGAGATGCTCAAGAAAGAGCATGAGGTGGGTGAGAGCAGTGCGGCCAGGAAGCCTCCAGATCAACCCCTTGCCTGACCGTGGGTGCCTGTGGGCATGACATCTGCTGGGTAAAGCTGAAACCTGTTACGTGTGGCATCTGTGGGATAAAAGGCAGGTCCTGCTGGGTGAAGCTAGTGCCTGTAAACCTGGTGCCTGCTGGGCAAAGCCGATGACCACGGGCATGGCGCCTGCTGAATAAAGCTGGGGCCTATAAGCGCAGTGCACGCTGGGTGAAGCTGCTGTCTGTGAGTGTGATGCATGCTGGGTAAAACGTGCCTGTGGGCATGGCTCCCGCTGAATAAAGCTGGTGCCTGTAAGCGTGGTGCCTGCTGGGTGAATCTGGTGTGTTTAAGTGTGGCATCTGCTGGATAAAAAGCAGTTCCTGCTGGGTAAAGCTGGTGTCTGCTGATAAAGGTATTTTATGTGAATGTGCTGTCTGGTAGGTAGAGCTTTGGTATCTAGGTAAAGACGGTGCCTGCTCATGAGGTGCCTGAGAGATAAAAGGAGTGCCCCCCGGGTAAAGGTGGGCCCTGTGAGTGTGGTTCGTGCTGAGAGAAGCGCTCCCTATGACCGTGGTGTCTTCTGAGTGAAAGTGGTGCCTGCTGGGTAAAAATGGTGCCTGTCGGGTAAAAATGGTGCCTGCTGGGTAAAAAATGGTGCCTGTTGGGTAAACGTGGTGCCTGCTGGGTAAAAATGGTGCCTGTTGGGTAAAAGTGGTGCCTGCTGGGTAAAAATGGTGCCTGTTGGGTAAAAGTGGTGCCTGCTGGGTAAAAGTGGTGCCTGCTGGGTAAAAAATGGTGCCTGTTGGGTAAAAATGATGCCTGCTGGGTAAAGGAGCCTATGCATGCCAGATAAAAGAGAACCACGTGTCCAAGGGCTGAGTTTATCCTAGTTAAGGAATGCCTCTGGTAGCCTAGTGAGGAAGGTCCAAGGTTGGAGGCCTGAGCCAGCTCAGAAAATAAGCCCTGGCGGTGCTGCCGTGGTTACTCACAGTTCCACACACAGGTCCTGGAGGCTGATGACAGAGCATGCCTGTTAGAAGCCATGTGGACATCCACTTTCTTCTCCCTGCCCCATGCCACCTCCCCCCAGCCCCTGTTTTAGCCAGCTGAACCTTCTAGAAGATCTCCTGCCCTCTAGTTCTGTCACTTCCTCTGCTCAACATCCTCCCCCCAGCTGTCCCTCACACTCCCCTCTTCCGAGAGCTGCCCACACCAGCCACTTCTTTCCTCTTCCCGGGACTTTGATTTCTCTGAAAACAGCCTGGGTCTGTTTGGGCTCATCTCTCCGTGACGCCCTTGTCTGGGGTGAGCGTTCAAGCCCACTTCCTGATGGGGAAACAGATGCTGAGAGTTGCCTGGCCTGCCTTAGCCTGACGCTGCACAAAATCTCAATAACCCAAACATCCCCCTTCCACCTTTTCCAGGCCCTCGCCATCAGGGGTGTGGATACCGTGTCCCGCAGCTCCTTGGAGATGTCCCCTTTGGCCCCAGTAACCCATGAAAGAAGACGCAAGAGGAGCAAACGAATGTCTTCAGGGACGGAGGAGTGTGGAGATGACAGGTTCCCCAAATCCGACTCGGAGGACGGTCCCAGAGCAATGGTAATCCCCGGCGGGGGCTCCAGCCCTTTCCAGGGGGGTCTGGCATCCAAAGCCCATCATGTTGGGCCCCTGGTGCAGTCACAGCCCCTCACGGCTGCTCCCCGAGGAGAGTATCCTCGAGCCCCCTCCCAGCACTTCCTGTTTCCCATGCCCATTCTTGGAGTGGAGGGCGTCTGGGCAGAGAGCCGAGCTAGATTTGGGTGTCATGGTGTCCTCAACCTCAGCTAAGTCCCCAGCATTGGGGCTAGGGCTGAGACTAGGGCTGAGACCACACCCTGTGGTGTGGACCGGAGGGGCCCGAGGACATGCTCATGTGAGTCAGGTGCCTGGCCGACCGCCCCAGGTCCTGCTCGGGCCGGGCCTCTTTGCACCACGAGGAGCTTTGCTGCCTCCTTCTCCCCGGGCCCAGCCAGAGCCCCATCTTCAGGCCCAGGTAAGCTTGAATGTCGAAGGCCCCGTGGCACCAGCTTTAGGTGAGCAGAGATCCCAGGTAGCGCAGGATTGTGCTCTGAACGCACCCTGCCGCAGCCCACCCAGTTCCCGTGTGGCCAGCAACAGCCCCGGATGCTCTGAGAAGCTCTCTCGGTCTCAGAGAACACGGCAAGGGATAGGCTGCGAGCACATGAAGAGCGGGCTTCTCCCTGTGTCCCCAGAACCGTCTGAGCAGCGCCCATGGCCTCAGCAGGACCTCCGTGAAGCCACGCTCCAGCCGTGGGAGCATTTTCACCTTTCGCAGGCGAGACCTGGGCTCGGAGACAGATTTTGCAGATGATGAAAACAGCACAGCGGGGGACAGCGAGAGCCACCGCACGTCACTGCTGGTGCCGTGGCCTCTGCGCCGGCCTAGTGCCCAGGGACAGCCCAGTCCCGGGACTTCGGCTCTCAGCCACGCCCTCAATGGTAAAAGGAACAGCACCGTGGACTGCAACGGAGTGGTCTCCTTGCTGGGGACAGGCGACCCTGAGGCCACCTCCCCGGGGAGCCGATACTGGATCGCCTCAGACACGGTGAGCTGCCTGCGGATGGTGTTCTAGGGCAGATCTGTCTCCTCCCCACATACCAGTACAGGGTCCAAAAGACTTTGATATATATACCGAAAGCACCTGTTGTATAATAAATTTGGGGTGAATAAACAAAAAAAAAAAAAAAAAAAATCTCTGCCTTCACAGATTTTCCATGATAATGGGGGCAGACAGGCAAAAATCAACGAAAGAAGAAAAATAGGTATATATGTATACGTGGCACATAACGTTGATAAACGGAGGTAATAGTTAAATATGTAGCAACTGGTAAAGCTCGGGCACCGAGATGCCATGGTGACACAGGACTCGTGTCCTGGAGGCCCCGTGTGTGCCAGCTATCAGCCCGTATTGTTGCTGGATCCTGCTTAATGCAGGGGGTTCTGGGAAAGGGGCCGGAGTGGCAAGGGGTTACTTACAGGGTTCTGGGCAACAGTTATTGACCAAGCCTGAAATATTTCAGTAACTTACAAACTGGTCAACATTAGCCCAACTAAGAAGTGCTGTTGTAGGAGGGCAAATAAGTGTGGAAGAGCGGGAGCCCTCACTCATGAGGAGGCATTTAAACAAAGACCTAAAGGAGGCAAGAGTGGGAGCCGGGGGCTGCTTTCTGAAACTCTGGGGGGGGGGGTGATATAGCACCCAGATTCGGGACACAAACTGGGTTTGAATCCCAGCTCATAGCTTACGAGCTGAATGGCAGTGGGCAAGTTACTTTCTTTCTCTGTATGTCTGTCATCTGTAAAACGAATTTAAAACACCCATCTCGTCTTGTCGTGAGGATGAATGGGCTCACGTGGCTATGGATATCAGGACATCATGAGCCTGCTGATGCTGTGATAATGTCATAATAATATACCATCATTATAGCATCTGAGGGAAGCATGCTCCAGGCCTAGAGAACAGCCAATGCAAAGGCCCTGAGGCAGAAGCATGCCCACCCTTTTGAAGGAAATGCCATGAGGTCAGAATAGCTGGAACCCAGGGAGCAAAGAAGAAAGGAGTTGAAGTTACCATCAAAAAGGTAGTGGAGGGACCTGCCAAAGTGTGAAAGGCCAGCCAGAGCTCTTATCACTCGGTCATCTGAGCCCGTGACCGACCGATGACTGCCCAGTCAGCCCTGGAGTGTCCTTGCTGACCGTTGCCCCCCCAACAGTGCCCAGGGCAGCCCACCCAGGAAAAGGGCAAATGTGTGGCTTATACGCCAGGGCCTGCAGGAGACGGGGGAGGGGAGACTTTCTAAGGAAGCTAGGACAAGACCAGAGCCTTGATCAGGAAGGTGAAGGTGGGGCTGAAGAGAGAGGCCTCACGGCCAAATGGCCAGTTTTGCTCCAGCTCAGACATTGGCTCTGGCTGCGGGACTTGATGTAGGTTAACGAATCTCTCTGTGCCTCAGTTTCCTCATCGCTTAAGTGGAAATAAAATAATATCCACGTCAGCAGGTTGTGGTGAGGACGAAAAGGGTTAAAACCTGTCTGGTGCTTAGACCTGTACTTGCCTAAGGTTCGAGTAATTATTATCTGTTGCCATTACTATCGAGGAGGAAGGAGTAAAGATTCCTGGGGTGCGTTGCAGTATGCCAGAGGCCCTCACACTCCTCTGGAGCAGGGGGTCAAGGACAGGGTCCTGGGAGTGCCCTGGGGGCAGATCACAGAGTCTGGTAGGGCCTGGGAAGGCCCTAGCCATCACCTGGAAGGCGGGATGTCAGGCCTCCCAGGAACACCCAATCCTGGTGGTCTAGGCGCCCCCCCCCCGCCCCCCAGCAGGTCCAGCCCTGGAGTCTCAGCCTTGTGGAATCAGATTCAGCAGCCCAGAACACTAATAGAATTTCCTAATCTCATTAGGGAGAAAATCATCTCATTGTGCTGCACACGTCAGGAGGAATCCAAGTTCAAACACTTCATTACTGGGAACTCTGACTTCACCCTTTCTCACTTCTGTGGGGCCCATTTGTAACCTCAAAGGGATTAGCAGGCCAAGGGGCTTATTTGCAAAGTTAAAGGAATTAGCAGACCAGGATGGAGACATTGTAAAGTTAAAGAGATTAGCAGGCATAGGCCCCTGGGAATGCCTTCGCAGCTTCCGCGGCATCGGATTGAGACACGTCTGCTCACTTCTAGTCTGAAAACAGAGTGCAGTGTGGGGCACATAGTGGGTGCTCAGCCAACACAGGAGAGGGGAAGAAGGGCCAGCCCAACAGACAGCTCATGTTTAATTTATCCCGATTGAGGGGGTGGAGGGTGAAAATGTATTCTGTCAGCTGTCTATATGAGAGTGCCTGTCCCAGAAGGCCAGATGGGGGTGGGGAACGGCCATTCTTCTTCCTCCACAGGTTAGACTGCATCCTCCTATCCCCTGGTCATCTAGCAAGTTATGGGCAGAGCTAGAACTAAACCCAAGCCCCTGGTTCCCAAGTAATTATTCACCCAACCAACATTTATCCAGTGCCAGCCTTGCTGCGTTGAGTTGGAGGCTCCAGGAATATAGCAGTGAACAGACAAGAGCTCTGAGTGCATGGAGTTTACACTGTGGTCAGGAAGACAGATGGCAAACTGGTCAATATTTCCAGATAGCGGTAAGGGTCATGGGACAGAACGTTGCTAGGGGGAGGGTTGGGGATGGCTCTTAGAATACTCAGGAAGTCCTTCCTGAAGAGGTGACATTCAAATTGGCAGGCAAATGATTTGGGGAGCAAGCCACAAAGATACAGAAGAGAAGTGTCGTAGGCAGAGGAAGCAGCAAGTACCCAAGAAGAGTAGGCTTGCCGTGTTCGAGGCATGAGAGGGCCAGGCGGGGTCAGGTGTGGTGGAAACAGCAAGAAGGGATTTGGACTGTGCGGCACCTGTAGGCAGTTGAGTGTGGGTTTACTCTAAGATGGGAAGCGTGGGATGAGAGGAGGAGAGAACTGTCATGACTTGATTCACTTTTTAAGGGAATCCCTTTCTGCTGTGTAGAGAATAGAGGGAAGAGATGATAGATTGCACCAGGGTGGTGTATCGGTCAGCTATTGCTACAATAATGCTGTGTAACAAAGTACCCCAAAAGTCAGTGGCTAACAGTAAGCCTTTATTCTCACGCTCACTTATCTGCAGGTTGACCATGGTTTGACAGATCTAGGTGGGGCTTGGCTGAGCAGCACTGCTTCGGTCTGCACACTGTGGGGCAGGCTCAGCGCTGCTCCATATGTCTCTGTGCCGAGGCTCAGGCCGAAAGGGTGGCAGCTACCTGGGGAGGCTGTGTTCATAGACGGTTACTGGAGCGCAAGAGCAAAGCAGACGGCGTTTAAGGTGCTCTTGCTCACGTCACGTCCACTGACATCCCATTGGCCAAAGCACGTGTGTCATCAGTGGGACAGGGACGGGTACTTCACCCCACAGTGGGAGAGCAGCAAGTAAATACTCACTAACTGAAAACTCAGACTAATGCAGAGTGTCAAGGAGGAGAAGAGAAGCTGGCAGAATTTAAGACATGCTTGTGAGTTAAGGGGGTCCTGTGTGTGGCTCCACTGGGCCGGAGCCACTACTGTTACAGCAGCCCCCGCGGCCCTCTCAGGAGCCTCTGCTTGAGTACTTCCCCGACTGGGGAGCTCACTCTCTCCCGAGGCAACATTTCAGGCCAGTCCCACCGATCGCAAAGGTTGACTTTGGCCTGAGCGCAGTTGGATTTGGTAGCCACCCCAGGCCCTGGCTCTGCCGCCCGGGGGAGCCCAGGCCATCTTGTTTCCGACCCACAGAGGTCGTAGAGCCTCACCATTGCATGCTGAACAGCCCGGTGCCTTGCGCAGCCCCGGCTCGGGCTCGTGGACCCTGGTCACGCAGGGCCGTGCCGCCGTGGCGGTGTTGTGGGCTCCCCCACCGTGGCGCTGAGAGGCGGGGCTCTGAGCCAGCCCAGAGTGCCTGCTGCCGCCTCCCCTCCTCAGACACCACGTCTCCATCTCTAGACCTGCTTGTTTTACTTACAAAAACGGTGCAGGTGCACTGCGACCAAGTCCCCCAGCGCAGAAGTGCAGAAGTGAAGGGCAACTCCGCCCTCTCCTTGGCCTCCCCCTCTCCTCCCAACCCCAGCCCCCGGAAACATTCCCTTGAACAACTCCGTGTGTGTCCTCCGGACCTTTCTCTTGGCTTTTCCACAAACTGTTCGTCTCGGAGGGGCCCCCGTGGGAACGCACACGGGACTACGTCGTTGTCTTTATTGTCCGTATCCGAGTCCAGAGTTGGGTTGTATCCATAATTGATCTTAGGAGTCTTTCCATTGATTAGTTTTGTTTTTATGGTATTAGGAAGCATGCTGCAGTGAACATCGTTGCGTATATATTTTTGGTGCACGTGTATAATTATTTATGAAGGTAGATTTGCTCGATGAGGAACTGCAGAGCCAATTTAACATCTTCTTGGCCGAGAGAGCCAAGCTGCCTCCACAGAAGCTCCCACCAGCTGTGTCTAAGCATTGTGCTTTATGCTTCTATTAATGTCACCTTAGAGCACGGGAGATTTTTTTTCTGTTTCTTTATGCTCTTGACTCTAGGGACCTTGTGGTCCATTAAGACTCCCAGATTGGTTTTGCATGTCCTAATGTATAATGACAGCATCTGGTTACATGTAGTTTCCTGTCCACGCTCAAGAATCACCACTGACGAGAGCAGATGACGAAAAGGAGAATGAAGGAGATAATGAGTGGCGAGAGGGATGGGGGAGTTATTAACAGGGAGGGAGTTCTCTGGGAGCAGAGAAACCCAGCATCCGTGTCCCATAAGGACCCCCATCCTGTCTCCCTGTGGCCCCCGAGACCCGAGTCCGGGACAGCTGCCCCAGGCCCAGCAGCTTCCCCAGGTTCAGCAGGACCCTGGCGCCCAGACTGATGCCTGTCTGCTGGTTGCACCCAGACCACCCCGTCGGAGGAGCCGGGCAGGCCCCAGATGCTGAACCCCCAGGCTCCACGTGCCGATGGCTTCGAGGGACCAGGAGAGCGACAGCGGGCACTCAGCGCAGTCAGTGTTCTCACCAGCGCCCTGGAAGGTCAGCACCCCCGGTGTCATCCAAACGCTCCTCCTTAGCCTGACCTGAGCCAAACATCCCCCAGCTGCTTGGCTTGCCTTGGACGTTCCCACAGCTGGCCCAGGCTTTCTGGTCTCTGCTGCCTGTCCGTCCTCACCACATCTGTGTCTCGTCCAAACCTCCCCCTAGCTGTCCTGGCCTGTCCCAGATGCTTACCAGTCTCATCCCGTCCTCTCCCAAGCATCCCCATGCCTTCCTGCGACCACCCTGGCCCAGCACGCCTGTTCTAGACTATTCCCAGCCATTCCATGCCTACCACAGGCTATTCCAGGCATCCCACATCTGTCCCGGCCACTCCCACCCTAGGCAACCCCCAGCCATTCCAGTCTGAACTTGGCATCACTCCCCAGTCTTGTTCCCTCCTGTCCCATATGTGTTCATATCTCTTCAGGCACCCGCCATCTGTCCTAACATGTCCCAGATGCCCACGTCTGTTCTTCTGTTTTGCGTGTCCTTAGATCTGAACTTGCCTATCTCAGATGTTGTCTCATCCTCTTCAGCTTGTCCTCCTCTGAGCGTCCCCATGTCTATGTGAGACTGTTGTCTCGAGGGAGCCCAAATCTGTCCTAATCTGTCTTGTCCCAGTTGTCCCCACATCCATCCTGACCTCCTGTCCCTGTGGCCCTCCACTGTCGTATTTCCAGAGTAAGGGGCCAGGACACAAGCCACACCTTTCCTTGGCCTTCCGTGCCCCTCTCACGGTCCCCCTGTCATGTAGCAGCCCTGCCATCTCCCCAGCTAAGTCATATGTCTTTTCTGGCATACCAAATTACATGTGAGCCAGTCCACAAAAACAAACCTGCTCACTGGCTACCCCCAGAGTTGGAAGAGTCTCACCGCAAATGTCCACCATGCTGGACCCGCTTCGCCCAACGCTACCTGATCTGGGAATGCTGCCCGCTGTGGATGTCCATCAAGCAGAGAGTGAAGTTCATGGTCATGGATCCGTTCGCTGACCTCACCATCACTATGTGCATCGTGCTTAACACGCTCTTCATGGCACTGGAGCACTACAACATGACAACTGAATTCGAGGAGATGCTGCAGGTTGGAAACCTGGTAAGGGCCACTGGCAGCCGACTCTCAAATGGGCATCCTAGTGTGAAGGGCTCTTGGCCAGCTGGCTCAGCCCTCGTGGATAGCGAGGGGGGATTCAGAGCACAACAGGATCTTCTGAAGGTGGGAGTCATCATGGAAAACATCTTGGAGCAGGAAGTGTCAGGATCAGGTTTTAAGGAGCTGAGAGATGTAGATGAGAGTGAGAAGTTGGGGGTAAAGATGCCCAGAGGCTAGAAAACAAAAGTGAGTTGGGGGAGAACTTGAAATATGCAGGGACGTGAGATACGGCCATTAGTATTGGAGGAGGAGCCTATGCCATAAAAGGCAGTTCTCTTAGGGAAAGGATGAATGGATGGAGAGGTGGGAGGAAGGATAGAAAGATGGATGGATGGATGGATGGATGGATGGATGGATGGATGGATGGATGATGGACTGATGGATAGTTGGGTGTAGTGAATCAATCAGGCAGAGCCAGATTTGCATTCTGACTCAGCTCTTACTATGTGACCTCAAGCAAATTACTTAGTCTCAGTCATTGGCAAAATAAGGATTTGTTTAATTTAATAAATGTAAAATTAGTATGACAATACCAAGCTCATAGGAAGCTAATGAGAATTGAATAAGATAATGTGTGTAATGTGCTTGGCTCAGAGTTTGATAAACAGTAAGCACTCGAAATAAATGATAACTGTGGTCTGTGGTTATTGTCACTGTTGATGTTATTAAAGAGACTGCCCCTGGAAGTCAGAATGTCTGGGTTCTAATTCTGATGGTTTTTTTCCCCTGGAGATCAAATCAGTTCCTACCTCTTGATTCTAAAGATGGGAAACTGAGGCTCAAGAGGTGACATAGTAGTGGCAGAGCTGGGCATGTAACTACTGTCTCCTGACTCTGACAGGCAGGGCCCTATGGGCTCTGCCCAGCTAAGCACAGTCAGCCATTCCCAGGGGGTTCCAGGTGAACTCTGGCAAAGTGTCCAGTGGCCTCTGAAAGGAGCTCCTGGGATCATCACCGAGGTTGGGTGAAGGAGAGGGTCATTCAGCCCAAGCGTTCTCTTACTACAGATACTGCCCTATCTTGGTTTCACAGGTGGTCCCCTCCCCTCACCCCAGGCAGGCAGGTCTCCTACACCATGGACTGTTGAGGATTCTCTTGGTTTATAACTTCCCATATCTAGAACTCTAGATAGTTATCTTGGGGTCTACTCAAATTTTTTTCGCAAACGTGAGTCCATTTTGCTATAATTGTACTTTTGTTCCTTCTTCCATATGCAAATAGAAAGCTATATTATAGTCTGTAGGTGTCTCACGGAACAATTGTGCCTGGCTCGTGTTGGGTGGTCTTCAGGTGGGTTGCAGTTGAAGGCAGTTTTATTGGAATGTGACCAGCTGAGTTGGGCCGAGCAGCAAATCAAGGTGATAAAGAACACTGGTGGCTTCCCTGGATCACTGAGTTGTGACTGAAGTGAAGGTGTGTTAAACTTGGGGCTCTGTTATTAGTAATAAGTCATGTAATTGGATTATAGCTGCATTGTGTTTCATTTGGATAGCTTTATTGCTGCTAAGGTTTTGATTGTCTTGAAGCTAATATATCCTCAGTGGTTTAAATGTTATATGTAAAGAAACAAACCATAAAGATAAGCATGGGAAAATAACCTCGGTATGGGAAAAACCTTTCCAAGCATGTCGTTAAAGACCAATTCCATAAAAGAGAAGATCGCGAGATTTGACTTTTAGCCCATCACTTGGAGAGCAAATGCAACTTTTGTTCCTAACACAATGAACCAAAAATCCTGATGAGTCTCCTACTAGGAAACAACTAAAAATATAGGACGTATTCTTTGAAATGCATATCAAAGCTCATGAGAAAATAACAAAAATCCCCAAGTAACAAAAACAGAAAGGAACTTAAAAACCATAGCAGTTTACAGGTGAGGTGTTTCTGTAGTTCCCCGGGTGGGGGTCGGGAGCAGGTGATATTGCTGATTTGGGTAATCTGGGGATTTGGATTTCAGTGAACATGTAGAGACAAGACAAGTCTTTAGACATTGTGAGTAGGGGTTGGAACTGAGTAGCCCCATGAGAATATAGCCCTACATTTGGCAGAACAGTGAACCAGAAAAAACTCCTGGCACTGAATCTGGGAAATGATATAGAAGGAAGCTTGTCAGTCTCAGCCAGGACTGAAGAGGAGGAAAAAGTAACCCCTGGAAGCTTGTGACAATGAATTTGGCCTTCTGTAGATGTGGAGTTCAGGTTTATAGCTGAGTGTTTCTGGAACCTATGCCTAAAGTTTAACAGATAAAGTGATCCTATGATACGTTGATATGTTGCTGCAAGAAGCAAGCACAAAACTTTTCTGAAAAGACACACTTTTAACCCAGGCCAAGTGTATTCTCGAAATTACAAAATACACAAGGAAATACCCCACTATGAAGAAGAGTCAGCAGACACAAACACACACACACACACACACACACACACACACACACACACACACGGAGGCTTATCCCCTTAAGAATGTCCCATGATATAACTGTCGAATAGAGATTATAAAGTAAGAATGTTTGTAAAAACTAAAGACATAAAAGAAGGAATTAAAGGGGCTCCTGGGTAGCTCAGTCAGTTAAGTGACTGACTTTGGCTCAGGTCATGATCTCACGGTTCATGGGTTCAAACCCTGTGTCGGGCTATAGGCTGACAGCTCAGAACCTGGAGCCTGCTTTGGATTCTGTGTCTTCCTCTCCCTCTCTGCCTCTCCCCCACTTGTGCTCGCTCTCTCTCTCTCTCTCTCTCTCTCTCAAAAATAAATAAATAAAACATTAAAAAAAGAAGGAATTAAAAACATAAAAGAATAAGACAGCTTTGGAAAAGAACCAAATCAAATCTCTAGAAATGGAAAACAGTCATTGGGATTAAAATCTCAATATATAAATCAAATAGCACATTCATATAGCTGGGGAGAGAATTAAATTAATATAATTTTAGATCTAAGGAAGTTGCCCAGAATGTAGAACAGGGAAGTAAAGAGACAGAAATTATGAAATCAAGGTTCAGAGACACGGAGTCAGAATGAGAAGGTAAGGCATACAGCTGATAGGAGTTCCAGAAGGAGAAAGTAGGAGAATGGGGGCAAAGGAATATTCAAGGAAAGAATAGGTGAGAACTGATAAAAAGAAATGAACCCTTAGATTCAGGAATTACATCCTGCACAGGATAAATAAGATATCTAGACATGCTGCACATCAAAAGCAAAGACATCATACAGCAACCAAAACAAGAAAGATTGCCTACTAAAGGAACAACAGTTAGAAAGACGGCAAAGTCCGCAGTTGCTTCAACAAAATCCAGAAGGCAGGGACATAATCATTTCACAATTCAGGGAGAAGACACTAGACACCCTAGAATTCTATACCCATCAGCCTACCGTTGAGAAAGGTATGCTAAACAAAGACCAAGAGCCTACTACACACAGACTGTCTCTCTGAAACAATAACAAAAATTTATACTTCAGAAAGAGGTAAAATGACTGCAGAAATAAGATTTGAGAAGATCCTGAAAGGAATAGTAAGAATGTGGGAAAAACCAAGCAAGCATTGACTGTGAATACAATAATAATAAGGATTGCTGATTGGAGGGTATAAAAAGTAGGAACTAAAATATTGAACACCAGCAGCATCTAAGATAGGCATGGAACAGGGATTGGAGGTAGGATGGCCTAAGTTCATGTACACTATGAAATATTAATTTAGATGTTATGAACTCAAGACTGATTGTTAAAACTTTTTAGGGCAACCACTAAGAGGATAGGAATGGAAAGTCTTAACTGCCAAGCCGGTAGAGAGGAAAATAGAGGAATTTTACAATTTTACAATTCAACCTGATAGAAGGAAGCAAAAGAAAAAAAAAAATAGAAGCACAAAATAAAATGAAGACGTAGGTCCAAATATACCAGAAATCGCAATAAATAGAAGTGGGGACTGCACTCACCAGTTAAAAGACAGATCGTCAGTTTGGTAAGGAAATTACACACAGCTATATGTTTTTTTACAAAAGATGCCCAAACATATTTTGGGAGACAAATCCCTAAAAGGGATTGAAGAAAAAGAAATGGAAAAGAGATAGAACAGTCAAATACTATCAAGAAAATTAATATAGTTATATTAATACCAAACAAAAAAATACTTTAAAGCAGAAAGTGTTATTGAGGGATAAAGAGATCCAAAACATAAAGATGGAAGAATGATTCACCAGGAATATATAACTCTAAACCTTCATGCACCAAATTACATAGCTTCTAAATATGTAAAGCAGACAGTGAGATCAATTTAACAAGACCACAATCTTAGTGAGAGGCCGCCCTCCATAACTGATGGGTCAAGCTTACAAAAGATCACCAAGGATCTAGAGGACCTGAATAACAGGAATAAAAAGTTTCATTTATTGAATGTGCAGAGCACAGCACCCAACAATTAAAGAAAATACACGTGAAACATTTACAAAATGACCACATTTTATGTCTCAAAGCAAGTTGCAGCAAAGACAGGGTATCATGCATTCTTCGATCTCCAACCACTGTGCAATTAAATTAGAAATATATGTGTCAGAATCTCATTGACTATGCAGTTCCATCTCCAGAAATTTATCCTAAGAACAGAACTGGGCAAGATGTTTTCAAACATGTATGTGGACGGATATTTATTATGGCAATGTATATAATAGGAACAAAAGAATGCCCATTGCAGGGAGATGGTTAAACTACTTATGGCATATCTGTACAGTGGAATATTCCACAACTGTTCAGGAAGGGAGGAAGAAAGGGAGGGAGGGAAGGAGGAAGGAAAAGGGAAGGGAGGAAGGAAGGGAGGAAGGAAGGAAGGAAGGAAGGAAGGAAGGAAGATGCCATAGATCATGTTTAATTGGTATTGAAGGATGTTTACAAATAATTAAATTTTAAAAGCAAGTTTATGGTTCCATCAGCACTGCGCAGTGGCCCCCCTGCCAGGAGTCAAGGAAAGCACGTCCCCACCCACACAGCCTCTGCCGACCAGATCCCAGTGAGGCTATAAAACAGGCAGAATAGGGGCGCCTGGGTGGCGCAGTCGGTTAAGAGTCCGACTTCAGCCAGGTCACGATCTCGCGGTCCGTGAGTTCGAGCCCCGCGTCGGGCTCTGGGCTGATGGCTCGGAGCCTGGAGCCTGTTTCCCATTCTGTGTCTCCCTCTCTCTCTGCCCCTCCCCCGTTCATGCTCTGTCTCTCTCTGTCCCAAAAATAAATTAAAAACGTTGAAAAAAAAATTTTAAAATAAAAAAAAAAAAAACCAGGCAGAATTGAAGGCAGACCCTACCTGGGCCTGGCACTCTTGCCCACTTGCATCCATCATAGTAAAAGCTGCTGCTGATAACAATAATGGCCCTCTCATAGGAGCCTCTGCCTTGCATCCATTAGCTCTAACCCTTAGAGATCTCCTATGGGGTTGTTATTATCCCCATTCTACATATGAGGACACTCAAGGCTCAGGGAAATGAGGAAACTGGCCCAAGACCATAAAGTGGCAGATCCAGCTTTGAAACCTGGGTCTGGCTGCCATTCTCTGCGTGTCTTAAACCATCAAGCTTTGATCGCAAGGCCTTAGAAAACCCGAGCTGGTCCTTTGGAAGGAAGACTCAGGCACCAAAATGTATGCATTTGTAAAGCAATGGTTCACAAGCTTAGCCGGATGTTAGCATCACCTAGGAAGTTAAAAACAAAAACAAACAAACAAAAGACAACTCAATACCTGGGCCGCACTCCAATCCAATTTAACTAGAATTTCTGGGAGTATTTTTAAAGCTCCCCAAGTGCCTCAAGTTTGAGAACCAGTGCTCGAATCACCTGGCAATCTAGTCAAAATGCAGGTTCTGCTCGAGCAGATCGGGGCTCTTCAAGATGCTGCGGGTCTAAAGAGCTTCCAGTGATCACTCCCCCAAGAGGCATTCCCCAAGAGCCTCTGCTGTCTTTTTCTTCTGACTTCCAATGCCAGCTAATATCTGCTCTCTTGCGGCCAGAATAGCCTTGCACCCGGGCAAAGTGAGGCAGGGATCTTTCCTGAACTCCCTTCCCAGAAATGAGTGTTAGCATCCGTGGGTCTGTCGAACAGGCCTTAAGAACCCACCTACCCTGGCGTGCTCAGGCAGGTGATGGGGGAGACCAGAGGGCCAGCCGGGGTCAGAGGAAGGGGCTTCCCAGGCCCCACCCTTAGGGGTTCCCAGGGAGACCCAGTGCAGGGAGTGTGGCTGGCAAGATACCGGACACTGTAGGAGCTGAAGGTCAGAAGCCCAACCATTTGTATGTTTATTCGACAAATGTCGGTGGACTGCCCGCTGGCTGGGCACTGTTCTTGTTGCAGTAAGACAGAAACGGTCCCTCCTGTGGAGATTCCAGTCTAGCCAAATCCGCAGCCACATACACAGTATGTCGGATGGTGGTAAGTGAGGGAAAGAAAAATGGAGCAGGGAAGAGGGATGAGGAGTTTGGTGGGAGGGGGTCATGATTTTAAGCATCAGGAAGCCTCATCCATCAGGTGGCTCTTAAGCCCAAACCTGAAGGGAACGAGCCCGGTGATTGGGGGAGGAGGGGATGGCCCAGGGAAAGGGAGCGGCACATACAAAGGCCCTGAGGAGGGAACGGCAGGGAGGAGACCAGCGTGGCTGGAAGAGCAGGAGGAGGATGGAGTCAGGGGGATGGAAAGGTTCTGCGTTACAGAACCCGGAGACCGGCTTGGGTGCGGAGGAAAGGGGCAGAAGAACCCAAGGATGTCTCCGCACATGTGAGGGCAGCCCAGGCATTGGAGCTGAGGCTGAGAGATTTGGGGGGCCCTCCCTTCCCCAAGACCACAGCTGGTGGGGGAACAGTTCCCTCTGGGACCGCTGAAGTCACGGGGCCCGCCCACCTGCCATCTGGTCCCCGCTCCACCCACCCCACCGCTGCCCCCCCCCCAACCCTGGCCAGTAGCAATCCCTGCCCCCAGCCCACCCCTTATCCAGACAGCAGGGGGAGGGGCTGATGCAGGTACCCCTCCGTCTCTCCTTTAGGCTCAGAGCCCCCTCGGGGTGCCGAGGGCTAGGTGATCCCCTCCTGTTTACTGACCCCGGCAGGCTACCTCAGGCTCCCATCCCTGGCCTCCACCTCCCTCACAGCTGCTGAAGCCCTGGTACTGTCCCCAGGGGTGGTCTGGCCCCTCACCCACAGAACGCCCCAGTGCCTCCTCACTGCCCTCACAATAACCCCCTCAGCTCCCAGAAGGCCCCAACTTCCCGCCAGCCGTGCCTGCACAGGCCATCCCCACCTCCAGGAGCCACGTCCCCGTCGAGGCAGCTGGCACACTGCAGAGCAGTTGGTTATGATCACGGCTGCCTGGCCCACCACGCGGTGGGCTCCTGGACCGCGGGGCTCTGCTGGCCCAGGCTGGGTGGCCCCGAACTGTGTCAACGAACCAAGGGAGACCCAGCCTCTGCCTCCTGGAGACTTTCTTCAGGAGGCAGAGGCGGTTCCTCTAAATCTTGAAGCACAACACTGCGTTCATTTCCTGCTTCTCGAAGGTGCTAGCTACGTGTCCCCGAGCACATTACTTAACCTCTCTGTGTTTCCGTTTCCTCGCCTGTAAAATGGGGATAATGATACTTTTCCTCGTCGAGTTGTTGGTTGGGTTAAAAGGAGCGTTCCAGCCCGGGGCTGGCACATTGTCAAGGCCTCAAGAAGGGGGGCGCTGGCTGTTACTGCAGTGACGAGAGTTCAGTGCGTGGACAAGGCAGAGCAGGAACAGCAGGGGCAAAGGCCCTGAGACATGAGAGCCCTGAGTGTTGGCGGGAATGCGTGTACTTGGCCCTCGCGGAGGGAGAGCACTTCCGGCGGTGACACGGGCTGGAAGGTGTCAGGCTGGGTGGTGTCACCCCCACCTCGGCCTCCCCTGCCCCCAGGTGCCTCCTAGAGCTGTGAGTCTGCCTAGAGCCTGAGGCGGGCCCGGCTCTTTCTGAGGGCCAGGCCAGCGGGTCGCGGGTGGTGAGCTGAAGAGTGAGCTAGGGCCGCAGGTATCCCCGAGGGGCTGGGCCGTGGCCGAGCAAGCACCCACTGGGAGCCGGGGTGCAGCCAGAGCTGGCAGCCCGGGGGGGCGGGGGGGTGCCCCCGGGGCTGCAAGAGTCGGAAAGCAGGGCGGCCCTCCTGGCCAGAGGGTCTTTCGAGCCCAAACACTGGGCACCCCGATCTGTGTGCCTCCCCAGGTCTTCACGGGGATCTTCACGGCAGAGATGACCTTCAAGATCATCGCTCTGGACCCCTATTACTACTTCCAGCAGGGCTGGAACATCTTCGACAGCATCATTGTCATCCTGAGCCTCATGGAGCTGGGCCTGTCCCGCATGGGCAACCTGTCAGTGCTGCGCTCCTTCCGCCTGGTACCCGGCTGGGCCCGCTGCAGGGGGGTGGGGTGAGGGCCCGGGGCACCGAGGCCACCCCACCCCCCGAGGTCACCACTCAGTTTCCCCTGCTCGGACCCATCGTGCCTTCACCCAACAGCTATTTGCTGGGTACCCCAGCGCTGGTGATGTGGGGGGCACAGAGAGGGGCAAGATTGGAGAGGCTCCTCTGGGGGGACTGTTGGGGTGGCCGTCCTGACGACGTGCAAAGCTCTTTGTGGCTCACCGTGCCTCCTTTAGTCCTCATAGAATCCCAGGACAGGAGCTAGTATTACTGCATACCCATTTCACAGATGAGGAGAGCAAGGCTTAAGTGAAACGAATTTCCCAAAGCCACGTGGCAAGGAACAGGTGGGAGCCGGGTCTGCCGACAGCTCCCCTGGGGCTCTGCCCTCCTGGTTTCAGGGTCAGCATGTGGGAACCTCTAATGCGCATACAAATCATCTGGGGATCTTGTGAAACCACGGACACTCATTTAGTAGGTCTAGGGTGATGCCAAACTGCTGGTCTGTGGACCACTCTGAGTGCAGAATGCCTGAGACGTCCACACAGGGGGCTGGAGGAGATCAGGGAAGGCTTCCTAGAAGAGGTCTGGGCAATGTTGGGTTCACTGGGGGCTTGGAAGGCAGGATGGTAGGGGCAGTCGAGAAAGTGGAAGCTATGAGTTCTAACCCCGACTCCACTGCCATGATCCAATGGACGCAGACAAGTTGCCGCACCTTTCAGGGTTGGCTTCTTCATCTGTCAAAGGAGGTAAGTGCCGGCCTCATGTGGTTATTGGGAGCTCTGAGTGAGGTGAGCCATCCTAAGCACGGGCCTGGCACAGCAGGTATCCAGTAAGCGCTAAGCGCCTGCCCCCTTTCTCCGTGATAACTGAGAGGAGAGAAGGTTGGAGGCAGTTGGGCAAATCAGAGATGGTTTGACCTGATGAGGATGAGTCTGGAAGAGGAAGGACATTCCATGCTGGAGGAATCTACTGGGAAGTTCCTGGAAGTGAGCCTGAGTCAGAAGCCGGTGTAGGGATGAAGACTAGGGCTGATTGGGGGGGGGGGGGGGGGGGGGGTGGTGATCTGGACACGGTGACCTGACTCCCAGAGCAGCGCCCAGTGAAGTTGCCCTCAGGCTGTAGAGAGGAACAGCAGTGTCCGCTCTTGGGGAAACGTGCCCACAAGCTCCCTGGGTTTTCAGGCGGGAGCTAGTGGGGCAAGGGTGTCCGTGGGCAGCGGGACAATGACGCCTCCCTCCCCAGCTGCGTGTCTTCAAGCTGGCCAAGTCGTGGCCCACGCTGAACACCCTCATCAAGATCATCGGGAACTCAGTGGGGGCGCTGGGGAACCTGACGCTGGTGCTGGCCATCATCGTGTTCATCTTCGCCGTGGTGGGCATGCAGCTCTTTGGCAAGAACTACTCGGAGCTGAGGCACCGCATCAGCGACTCGGGCCTGCTGCCTCGCTGGCACATGATGGACTTCTTCCACGCCTTTCTCATCATCTTCCGCATCCTCTGTGGGGAGTGGATCGAGACCATGTGGGACTGCATGGAGGTGTCCGGCCAGTCACTGTGCCTGCTGGTCTTCTTGCTTGTTATGGTCATTGGCAACCTCGTGGTAAGTTGGCCACACATACACCACACGCACACTCACCCGCCCGGTCACCCATCTGTCCATTCACTTAGCCTTCCTTCCATCCATCCACTTGTTCACTCGGCCTTCCATCAAACCGTCCATCTACCCATCAGTCTCGCATCATCCCTTTACCCGTCCATCCATCCCCCTGTTCGTTACCTGTCCTTTCGTCTGTCTCCTCATCCACCACCTCTGTACCCATTTACTCATCCACCTACGCGCTGGTCACCAGTCCATCGATTCACTTATCCGCTCGTTCTTCCATCCCTCTGCCCGTCCATACGCCTCCCGACCCAGCCACCAGTCTACTTACCAATCACCCACCCGCCAACTCGCCCGTCCATTTGTCCACCTCTCTGTCAATCTGTCTACCCAGTTACCAGTCCTATCTATTCATTCACTCCTCCGGCCATCCCTGCTTCCTCCTTCTTTTACCCCTCCACTTCTCTGCCCATCCAGACCCATCCATCAACCCCTATTCGTTCATAAACACACACGCACACCCCTACCTATTCATCCATCCATCTGTCCATCCATCCATCACCCACATTCTTACTCTCTTATCTGTCCCTCCACTCATTAATCCACCCCACATCCATCTGGCAACGCACTCATCCGTTCACTCATTCACCAGTCCTATCCATCCACCCATTATCCGCCCAGCTCTCTCCTCACTCACTCACTGATCCATCCATCCATTCACATCACTTTTCACTTGCTTTTTCCTTCAATCGCCCACCTATTTACCTGTTTATTATATACTCGTTTTATATCCCTTAACTAATTTATTTATTCATCTACCCACTATTATATTAGTTATTTACGACCAATGATATATCACACCGTTTTTCAGTCCAGCTTAACAGCCATTTCCTGAGCCCCTGCTGCATACAAAATATTGTGGCAGATGCCGTTGGGCATGCAGAGGTGAATGTGGCCCTGACATTGCTCACCAACGGGAGAGTGGGGAAGTGGAGAGTTCAAACAGGCCGGAAATAACTGTCGATCCGGTTAGAAGGATCAGAGGCATTAAGGAAGAGCCCATGGGCACTGACCCCCTCCAGCAGGGGAAATCAAGGAAGGCTTCCTAGAGGAGGATTTGGAGCAGACCTGACAGGTGATGCTAGAGTGGGAAGGAGCAGAGGGAGTAAAGCACAGGTGTAGCAGGTGGTGGCCCAGGTAAGGCAGGGCCCATGGGAGCTCGTATGTCATCCTGGGTAGCTATGCTGGCAGTCCCTGCTACCCTGTCATGAGGGACCCAGGCCTTTGTTCCCATGTCCACCTGTCTGTCCTAGAACATGTGTTTCTTGCCTTGTATCTTTAAATGTGGGGGATTCTGGAGTTGAGGGAGATCAAAATTCCAAATGCCAGAGAATGAGCTCTTGGAAGAGGCAAGTGAGTGGTTCAGGAAGAAGTCACTGTCCACTGCGGACATGAAGCTACCTGCCTGAGCACACAGGTGGTCCGTACGTGCTCAGACATCACACCCACACGGTCTGACTCCTGTGGTGTGGGCCGTGTAGACTCACAGTATAGGGCTTGTGGTTGGCTCAAGTACCGTGGGCTGTAGGCTCCAGAGCCCTTCCCCAAGCCTGCCCGCCTTCTCCTCCAGTGTGCCCTAACCATGCAAGGGTGGGCCCGGCTCAGGTGGGGATCAGGCTTCCCCCAGCCCCACAGGTGGAGCCCAGACAGGGGGCAGGGCATCGGTACACAGTGCACCCCCCTCCTTTCCTTCTGCTGGCCGCCCCTCAGGATGGAGCCTCACTGAGCCCTGGCCCAGCCCCGGGGCCACCAGACTGTGTATTCCAAGGAGGACGCGGGTATGCCAGGCTCTCAGCCCGGGGCCAGGCCCGCTGCCCTCACACATACAGCCCTGCGATTTCCTAGCGGATCTGCCTGGGGATGAGAAGATTAGAGGCCGCTGGAGGAGGGAAGCTAACGCAGCCCACACAGCCCCCACCCTGGCCGCCTCAGGAATTGGGCCGCTGCCGGGCGTGGGTGGAAGCGAGATTGCCATTGAAATGGGAAGTCATGATCAGGCAGGGGCTGGGGAGCGGCAGCGTGATTGACGGGGAAAGCACTGGAAGAAACCAAGCCTCAGAAGCAGGCCACAAGGGAGGACCTGGTGCCTGGTAAGGGTGGACAGGGCTGCCCAGGCACCCCCCCCCACACCCCGCCTCGCTGCCCCCCAGCCTAGACCCCAGATACCTGGAGGCGAGGCACGGGCGAGGGCAGAGGGTCTGGGCTGGGCAACTGGGAGCAGAAGCAGGCCAGGCCTAGGCCAGTGTGGCCGAGGCCAGGGGCCAGGCCAGAGGTCAGTGTAGACAGCAGCCCTGAATCACATCACGTGCCCCACCCCCCCAGGGGTGACATGAAAAGGGCTGCCTGGTGTCAAAAGTGATCATCTCCCCATGTAGAATGCCAGATCCTGCTTCTCAACCTTCCCATACCGTCCTTGTGAATGGGCACTCCTTAAAGGCGTGTTTCTGACTCCCGGCGCTCCAACTTGACTGCTGCTTTCTTCAGAATTCTCATCCCTAGCTCTCTGGCTGGCACGAGGCATGTCTCAGGGGCTTGTGAGAAGCCAGAGAGGGGCCCAGAGTGGGTTACTAGTGAGAACTGCACACACATCGTCACACAGCTCCCTGCCCTGGGGGCCCCCGTTGAGGGAACTCCCTTCTGGGGGCAGCTGGGAGGAAAAAGCACCAAGCCCCGCCCCCCCAGGTGGGGAGGTTGTGTCTCTGGCCTGTCCGCCTGACGACACGTGTGGGAACAAGCCCACCACCACTTTCACTTACCCTCCACGAGGCTGGGAAATGGACCCACGGCCACCCTCTTGTCACTCAGCAAAAGTGCTCTCTTTTTTTTTTTTAACAAAAGCTAAAGCTTGGCACTTGCAGGACGGTTTAACAGCGAGCAATAGTCCAGACCATGCAAAGAGAGACGGGTTTTGCACACCTCACTTAAGGAGTCTCTTAAGGACACAGGTCCTTAAGCAGAAGCCCCAGATTTTCAGGTGTCGAGCCAGTTCAGGGGCCCATCACCAGCCCCTTCTTCGCCAACAGATGTAGAGGTCCTTTCCCAGAAAAGTCTCCGGGAATTCTAGACTGCTTCCGGGTGGGATTCTGTCTTGTCCCTGGTGATCCCAGACTGGATCCCACTTCCCAGGGAGCAACGCTGTGCCCCTCCTAACCCCACAGTCCTCCATTACTCCCAAGGTAGCAAGGCCCCGTTGCAGGCCCCGTCTGGATGAAGCCATGGTTCTCCCATTGACCCTGGGCCTGAATGCCTTCAACTCAGACTGTATCCGAGCCCTTGGGAAAAGGGATGGGAATTGGTCTTTCATTTATAGCCAAACTCACTATGTTCAAGACAACTGGAGCGTTAGGATGAGGGCCCAGGGCTCGCGCCCAGAGCTGTTTGCCGCGGCAGTCCTTAAGGTCTTTCGGCCTCAGTTTCCCCATAACGGACCCGAGGCCGAATGCCTCTGGTGTGGTGCCCGCCTCGATGAGCCGGATCTGTTGCCTCCACAGGTCCTGAACCTCTTCCTGGCTTTGCTGCTCAGCTCCTTCAGTGCAGACAACCTCACGGCCCCCGACGACGACGGGGAGATGAACAACCTCCAGCTGGCCCTGGCACGCATCCAGCGCGGCCTGCGCTTCCTCAAGCGGACCACCTGGGACTTCTGCTGTGGGCTCCTACAGCGGCGGCCTCAGAAGCCCGCGGCCCTTGCCGCCCACGGCCAGCTGCCCCGCTGTGTGGCCACCTCCAGCTCCCCACCCCCACCGCCCCCAGAGCCAGAGAAGGCGCCTCCGGCCCGCAAGGAGACACGGTTTGAGGAAGACAAGCGGCCAGGCCAGGGCACCCCGGGGGATACAGAGCCTGTGTGTGTGCCCATTGCCGTGGCTGAGTCAGACACAGATGAGCAAGAGGAGGAGGAAGAAAACAGCCTGGGCACAGAGGAAGAGTCCAGTAAGCAGGTGAGTGCCCCCCGCCCACCTGTGCAGCACCTGCGCATACAGGGCCCAGGGCTCTGCTGTCCAGGGATCCCAGCCTCGCTCAGAGCAGCTGCCCCAGCAGGAATGGGATGGAGGTAGACGACAGGCCACTCCCAGAGGGCAGCCTCACACAGGGGTGCTGAGGCCAGCTGTCAACCCTCTCTTCCCAAGCCAGCCCGGAGGGGACCTGGGGACGGGCTACTGTCCATCATTCATCTGATGCTAGCCGTGAGAGCTGATCGCACGGAAAGGGGAACCAAGGTACGGCAAGAGAGAGGCTTGCTAGGAGTTCCTCATGCACCTGCGACAGAGCCAGACATCCTGGACCCCCCCGACCAGAATGTCCTAGTGGGGAAGGAGTGCAGTCTCCTGACCTCGCCACTGCCCTTTCCCCTCCTCCCAGGCCCAGGGCTAACTCTGAGATTTAAAAATAAGCCTCCCTGAGATGGCAGGTGTCAGAGACAGCACTATCTTATCTCCCAACCTGTTATTTTTAACACTTAGGACCAGAGTCTGGACAAAAGAGACGGTGCCCCCCGCCCCCTCAGTTTTCCCGTGGCCTGAGCCAGGCTCAGATGGCTTCTCCTTAGGTCTTCAGGTCAGAGGTTCTCTGTCCGGTTGGGCCCGTCCTGGCTGCTTCATTTAGGCCTGCCCTGAGCGGCTTTGCTGTGAGGAACAACGGTTCCCCGTGTGTAGAAGTGAATCTGAGGCTTCGGGCTAGCTTCCACAGCTTTCTGCCTCCCAGCGGTCCCGGAGGCCAGCTTCCGCCCCTTGAGTCAGACCAGGCTGCGGGACAGTATGAGTTGGGAGAGGGCAGTGTGGGTGTTGCCAGGACCACGGCCTCCAGTTATCTCCAGGATGCTCCTCGTCCTTGTCCTTTCCTTCTCTTGAGCCTGTTGACTCTGGCTCCCTGGTGTGTGTGTGTGTGTGTGTGTGTGTGTGTGTGTGTGCAAGGAGTGCCGTGGGAACTCATGGGAGAAGTCAGCGTATCCTTCCTAAGTGGAGTTGCCAGCATTTTGGAGCTGGGCATCACAGCCCAGCTGCACCCTTCCAGGGAATGGGAGGAGGGGGAGATTTATGCCAGGCTGGCCAGGAGCCTCCCAGCGGCCCACTTCCAGCCCTGGAGGCCCTTGATCTTCAGTGAGAGGAGGCCCCATGAAGAGGGCAGGAGGCAGTGTTCCAGTCGCGTAGGCAGGGCCCTGGAAAACACTCTGGCTGGGTGGCTCACGGGCTGGGGGTCTCTTCAGCAGGAATCCCAGCCTGTTTCCGGCAGCCCAGAGGCCCTCCCAAAGCCCAGGGCCTGGAGCCAGGTGTCAGAGACCCCCTCCTCCGAGGCCGAGGCCAGTGTGGCTCAGGCAGACTGGCGGCAGCAGCGGAGAGTGGAGCCCCCGGCCCCAGGGTGCAGTGAGGTAACGCACACCTTTGTCCCTGAAGCCGGCCGGTGCTGCCGCTTGGACTGGAGCCAGGCCGTGAGAGGCCCTGGCACACGCTTGCATTTGCTGGTGGGAACTGTAGTCGCTGTCACAGGCAGTGTGGGAAACCCGTCGGCGGAGGGGAACGTGGGCAGGACAGGGGAGGGATGGCTTGGGGCCCAGGGCTTCCGGGAAATTCTGGAAGCAGCCAGCCGAGACCCCTGATGCAGGACTAACCCTACACCTCCCTGTGTTCACCCCTCCTCACTCGGTTCCTGTGCTTTGCTCCTCTCTGCCAAACGTTTGTCCTATGAATTACCCCATCCCAGGGAACTTCAGGGGGCCCTGAGAACAAGTTCTTGGCACATTGCCCACCCTCCTTGACACTGGCAGGGGCCCTCTGGTTTGCCACAGACCCCACTTGCCTGACTTCATTCCAGCACCTGCCTGGCCCCTGTAAGCATTGGAGCCGGCAACCCCTGAGCTAAGGGACCATGGCTCTGCCCACTACGCCCCCGACCCCGCGCACCCACCCCCACTCACCACGGAAGGGGGAGGTCAAGCGTTCAGAGACAGTGCTCCGTGGCTCTTGCCCTGCAGCCTGGCCCTGGCCGGCAGTCGTGCCTTGCCCCAGCAGAGCACTGCCCATTTTGCCGGGTCCCTGTCACGGGATGGGCTCGTGGGAGGCCTCGCGATCATGGTCATCTTTGGAGCACGAGCGCCCGCTGCAGTCTTCACCCTGACGGTGCGGGTCGCACTTCTCCCCTGGAGGGTCTGACACAGAAAGGCACCTGGAAACAGGAGGGGCACAAAAGTCGCAGAGAAGGGGGGGGGGGGCTCTCGTACTGGAATGTTGAAACGTCTTCCTTTCCTCAAATCAGTTCGTGGTGGGACCCGTCAAAGGGAGAGAGAAGTGGGCTGGGTTTTCCTGGGAGAAGGACCCCTCATCTCACCTGCGGCCGGGTCCTGAAGGCTTGGCTCCCACCGGATGCCCCGCGGACTTTACGCAGCTCCGGTGTCTGAAAAAGTAGCACAGAGACCTCCTCGGGCTCGTGCCTTTCCCAGCTCCGCTGCATAGTGAAGCTGGGGGCAGAAGGAAGAAGCCCTCCAAGGCACAGGGACCCCAAAAGGGCCACGGCTCCTCCCTACACCCGGGCCCTCTCGACTTTCCCACCAGCGTCCAGCCCTTCCCCGTCACAAACACCAAAACTTCAGAGGACTTTGAGAAACCAGAGGAGTGAGTCATGGGAGGAAGGGAAGGGAAGGCAGCTTCAGGAGCAGAGGCAGGCCCGGGAACTCAAACCAGCTCGTCTCCAGGCGGAGCTGGAGATGCGGGCTTGCCCACGTAGCTGGCGGCGTAGATGGGATCCGAAGCCATTGAAGGCTTCCCTTCCTTCTCAGAAGCCCCTGCCTCGGCCGTGCCGTGGCTGTCTGTAGAGCAGGCTCCTAGAAGCAGAGTCTGAGACAGGCTTCCTGTGCAAATGATTTACCGAGGGAGCGCCCTCAGAGAAGCCGATAGGGAAAGAAATGGGACAAGCCGGGTGAGGCCAAGGAAGAAGCTGCGAAAGGCCAGTGCTGGATTCAGGCCTCAGCCTGGTCCGCTGGGAGCCCTGGAGCTTGAGCTGCACGTGGCCTTGTCCCACCCCGAGGCAAGGGGCTGGCCTTCTGTGTTCCCATATGGGTGCAACACTGTCAGCCGCCCTTGGCTTGGGCTGTAGCCCCCACGCCATTACCAGGGACGGCCGCCCCCGGCTGAAGACCGTGCTCTGGAGAAGGAGCCAGCTAAGCAGCCGGCGTTCACGGTGCCGTGGCTAAGAGGGAACCGGGCAGGGCACCAGCAGGCTCCACTACTGCGCCCCTGCACGCTGGAACCCACACGAGACTAACACAGACACTCACAAGGGCAGGCTGCGTGCACATGCCCGGCTATAATCAGGTTATGCAAGGTCAGGGCAGCAGAACCCCGCCTAGCGGGGCAGGGACGTTTCCAATCTTTTCTTGCTTTTACTCCAGACTCTCCCTGTGAACTGGGTGAGAAGTGCGGGCTGGGTTGCTGGCCTGTTCTCTGCGTGTCTGACCCCACACCTGTATGTGCCTGTGCTCCTGGTCCTGACTCTGTTCCCCTTGTGGCACGTCTGTTGGCTCTGTGTGCCAAGCCGCTGCCGTGTATCCTTGGCCGGATGTGTCGGTGTTGCTGCCCGTGTCCGTTTGTTCCCAGCTGGATGCGTTTCCCGTCCCCAGTGCCTTCCCTCCCCACACACCCCGCTGCACCCCACACTAGACTCCAGCACAGACTCAGGACCCCCGAGGGGCCTCAGTTCAGCCCGGGGCAGGTCCCCACCCTGGGCTCAGATTTCCAGGGTGTGTAATGGAAAGTAGTCTGGGCACCTTCCCTTAGGGAGCCCCCGGCTGCCCCAGACTCTGGGCTCCAGGCTGAAGGCTTCCTCATGGCCCTCACCCACCCCACCCCACACCCCTGCCCACAGACTCAGGAGGACAGTTACTCGGAAGGGAGCACAGCAGACATGACCAACACTGCTGACCTCCTGGAGCAGATCCCTGACCTGGGTGAGGACGTCAAGGACCCAGAGGACTGCTTCACCGAAGGTACTGCCCGTCGTGGCCCTTCGCCCCGGCCTCTGCCCCACCCAGAGGGCTCCTGGACGACCAGTAGCAATTTGGGGCCAGGGGCCATGTGGCTCCACACCCTGTCCCTGATGCGTGCCCTCTCTACCCCATTCCTCGTGACCCCAGGGCCCCTCCTCGTGCCCAGGACTTGAATCACGGCAAGTCTGCCCGCGGAGTGCTGGGCTGGGCAGTGTGGGTCAGCGGCACCGAGGACCAGCGACGTTGCGTTGGTAGTCGTAGTGACACTGTGTTGGTAGCACGGCAGGAACGCCATCGTCTTCACCTGTGCCCCCAGGTTGGCACGGTGCCCGGCACGCAGTGGGCCTTCTGTAAATACCTGTGGGTGTGACCTGTGGCCGTGCTGGTCGCTGGCGTCTGTAACTCTACGGATGGGTGGTGTATTCGCAAGGCAGCTGGGGCTAAAATGAGAGCTCGCCCTCCACGTGGCCTGTCATCTGGGGCTTTCAGTGAGCGGTCTGCCCTTCCCAAGGTTCAAAAACTGCAAACATGGACAAGGCCCAGGGACAGAGCACCCCAGAGCACCCCAGGGGTTCGGGAATATTTCCCCAGGGGGAGAGTTTCCCAGATGAGCAGAGGAGAAGCAGGAGCCCATCCCAGCCCCAGCCTTCCCCCCACCCCAGACCTGCCAGGCCCTTTAGCCACTCACTGGGTGCCCAGTCCACCCGGCCTTTCCCTCGAGTTCCTGCTGAGCGTGGGCCCCGAGGACAGCACCACGGTGCTTCCTGCCGTCCACCACCCCCGCCCACCGCGTTCATTACTCCACATCATACCCTCTTTCTCTCAGTCACTCCTTCCACCATCCGACCTTCCGCCATCAGGCGTGGGCATTGGCAGGCCCCGGCCTGGGCCTGACCCCTCCCCCTCCCCACCCCCGCAGGCTGCGTCCGGCGCTGTCCTTGCTGCGCCGTGGACACCACGCAGGCCCCGGGGAAGGTCTGGTGGCGGCTGCGCAAGACCTGCTATCGCATCGTGGAGCACAGCTGGTTCGAGACATTCATCATCTTCATGATCCTGCTCAGCAGCGGAGCACTGGTACCCTCCTGGGGATGCAGGGTTGGGCAGAGAGGGATGGAGGAGGGGAGGAGGGCGGGGAAGGGAAGTCTCCCGCTGGAGAGGCTGGGGAGGAGACCGGAAACTGGGGCAGAGCCTCTGCTGAAGATGTGCTTCCCCTGCCCCCCCCCCCCCCCCCCCCCCCCCCCCCCCCCCCCCCCCGGAGCGGGAGTCAGCCCACAAACTCCCAACACCAGGGCACGTATGGAGGTCAGAGCAGGAAGGGCTCACAGAGGTCATCTTTCCAGACCCCTGTGTTCCACAAAAGGGGGGTGATTTACCCCCAGTTCACAGCACCCAGCTGGCATAGGTCGCAGGTCACCAGCCTCCTACCCCCCAAGCTCCGGTGACACACCCAGCTGCAAACAGCCCCGTCAGGCCGTTTCAGTGCAGGTAACAATGCTGGCTGATGTGACACTGGTAGTTTCACTTATTCCACGTGTTCTAGGGCGAGAGGCCGTGCTCTGCAGTCTACACGGTATCACCTTGGATCCTGACAATAACCCTTTGTAAAAACGTTAAATAAATTGCCTAAGGTCCCACCTCACTCAGCAGCAGACGTGGTATTTGAACCCAGGCAGTCAGATTCCAGAGTCCTTTGTCTTGACCTTCTGTTCGTTCAAGAGGCCTTTTCTAAGCTCTCCTTGTATCTAGGCCTATGAGCCATGGGGGGCAGCAAGAGGAGGAGACCCCAACCCCAGCCTCAGTGGCTCAGAGTCTAGTTGGGGAAACCAGATTCAGTAGGTTTGGGGTAGAGATCAGCTCCAGAGAGACAACGGAACAAGAATGGAGTAAATGGCTGGGAGGTCAGGGGGACTGGAGCGATCAGGAAGATTCCCTGGAGACAGCAAGTGCAGCTGGACCATGGAGGACAAGGAGGTTTGACCAAGCACCCGATTCTGACCTCTCAGTCCTTCTAGGAGGAGATGGGACAGCCCTGGAGAGAGTTCTAGAAGATGCTGGTGAGCAGGGAGACAGGTGGTCAAGCAGGCAGAAGAGATAGTAACTTTCCTGGCCCAAGGGAGGAAGCGCTTGATATTGCTGGGGAGGTGAGAACCCCATGGATGAGTAGCAAACAGGGAATGCTTTGAACTATAGAGCGAGAGAGAGGGGCACTTTGACCCAAGGCTGTGTGCCTCCACTCTGTGCTGCCTCCTGCGGGGGCAGGCCATGGGGAGGCACTGCGGCTGTCACTCCTAAATCTCTGGGCCCACCCTATTCTGTACTGCCCTCCCCTGTCCCAGAGTGGGCCTGGAGCCATGACTTGCAGGCTGCATGCTGTTTTACCATCGGCAGCTAGAGCCAAATCTCTGTAGGCTTCAGAGAAGGATGATTTGACAATATGTTAACGAGTTTTGTTTTTAAACAGCCACAAACAAGGGCAGCCAGAGCCATGTAGTCTGGGCTGTGGAGGAAAAACTCAGCCTGGCATAAGTGAGGAGGAGTTTTGGCAAGCAAATGGTGAATCTAATCAGGGTAGACAGCCAAGCACAGTTTAAAAAAAAACCACGTCGATGATATATTGAGAAAAAGAAGTCTGAGTGTGTTATTTAAAGTTATAAACTTGTTTAACAGAAAGCAAACTATATATCCCTTCCAAACTGTTGGAGGGAATTTTCTTTTAAAGAAAACAGAGCTCTTACAGCAAAAGATAGGAGAAAAAAGAAGGAACAAGGAAACATGAAGCCAGGAAACAGAAAATAATATGGCAGAGGCAAAATCAAATATGTGCTTTAATAATAACAGTAACTGGATAAAATTCATCTTTTAAAAGGAAAGGACTCTGAATGGATTTCTTTTAATACTTATTTATCTATTTTGAGAGAGAGAGAGCACAAGCAGGGGAGGGGCAGAGACAGAATCCCAAGCAGGCTCCATGCTGTCATCGCAGAGCCCTACCCGGGGCTTGATCTCACGAATAATGAATTCACGACCTGAGCCAAAATCAAGAGTCAGATGCTTAACTGACTGAGCCTTCCAGGTGCCCCTGAATGGATTTAAGACAAAAACAGGGGCACCTGGGTGGCTCGGTAGGTTAAGCATCCGACTCCAGCTCAGGTCATGATCTCACAGTCCTTGAGTTCATGTCCCGCGTCGGGCTCTGTGCTGACAGCTCACAGCCTGGAGCCTGCTTCTGATTCTGTGTCTCCCTCTCTCTCTGCCCCTTCCCTGCTCATGCTCTGTCTCAAAAATAAATAAAAACATTTAAAAACAAAACAAAACAAAACAAAAACCCTTCCACTATGTGTTTTTAAATGACAAACCAAAATGGTGTCACTCAGAAATATTAAATGTAAAATAATAAGATATATCAGGCAAATGTAAATACAATGACTACAAAACTAAAGTGTTTTTGTTTGTTAACATTAAACAAGGTTTAACTCAACATAAGAAGCTTGAGATAAAACCAAGCAGATCCAATCTATAATTAAAAAAAAAAACTATTATAAATATATTTTTGCGTGGGATTGCACAGCACTTATATCAAACAAAAACCATTAGAATAAAAAGACAAGAAAAAAGTGGCAACAGTGTAACAGTACAGGGAGATTTCACCACACTTCTATTAGTTCTTGACAAATCACATAGAAAGAACAAAACGAGAGATCTAAAATATATGTATATATAGTTAATTAATTTTATCTAACCTAATAATAGAAATAATAACATTTAAATAGCACCCACTATGTACCAGACCCTGTTGTAAGCATTTTACAAAGATTCATTCATTTGATTCTCACAATAACTCTAAGAGATAAGTACTAGTATTAAGTCTATTTTACAGATAATGAAAGTGCTAGATATGGCAAAAATAGAAATAAAAAAAACAATAACAACAACAATCCTTAAAAGTGTAAAAGTCATTCTTAAAGTTTGGGTCAAACAGAAAATAGTTTGGTGGTAGGTTCATCAGTGTTCATTATATTAATAAGTAAGTAAATAAGTAAAATATAGAGGCTACTCATGGACCAAAGATGACAGTGTGTTGTAAATCAGAGATTATGATTCAACCAATTCTGTCCGCTTGAGATCTAGAAAAATAAGAAAAAAAATTAGAAGGAGAGAAAAAAAAAAGCTGGCTGGGGGAATAAAAAACTAGAAAATAATAATACTGAGAGTCCTGCTTATGGGATGCAGCCAAAGCTGTAATAAGAGGAAAATTCATAGACATAAACACTTTTATTATTAAATAGAAAGAATGTAAATTGGTTAATTATTTAACTCAAGAACTTACAAATATAACAACAAAATTATCTTAAGGAAAATGAGGAAATAATTAATAAAATTTTAAAAACAAATTAATCAGAAAATAAATAATAAAACTGATATGAAATTCCAAAGCTGATTCCTTGAAAAATTAAAATAATAAAACAGATAAACCACTAGCTAATCTGATCCCTCACATCTCCAAGCATTAATTCTTCTGCATTCTCAAGGAAGAAAATAATTCCTATCCTATTTAAAATATTCTAGTGTGGGGCACCTGGGTGGCTCAGTCTGTTAAGTGCACAATCTTGGTTTCAGCTCAACTCATGATCCCAGGGTCATGGGATTGAGCCCTGTGTTGGGCTCCACACTGAGCATAGAGCCTGCTTAAGATTCTCTCTCCCTCTGCCCCTGTCTCCTGCTTGTGTGCTCCCTTTCTCTCTAAAATATAAAATAAAATAATAAAATAAAATAAAATAAAATAAAATATAAAAATGTTCTAGTCTATGAAGAAAGTCTATACATGCTTTTTATGTAAGTTAAATAATGTTGATTTTTAAAAACCAGTTTTCATACACCATATTTATAGTGATGCGAAAATCCTGAAATACTTGCAAATAAGATCCAACAATGTATTTTTTTAAGTAAGTACATCATAGCCAAGTATATTCTAAAATGGCAGAATAATGCCATACTAGGAAATCTATTTATATGAATAGGACAGAGATGAAAACCATAGTTACCTCAATGAATGCCTGACTTTTAAAACTCTAGTAAGAATAGAAATAAATTATATTTCCTTAGTTTAGAGAAAAACTCATTCTCAAGTTAGCTTCTATTATCATCATTAGTAGTACAGCACTTGAAACATTTTTATTAAAGTCAGGACTAAGAAGATGATTTAACTAGTTTTTAGCGGTTGTTCCATTATTTAGTAATAATCTTGAAGCACTAGCTGCCCAATTAATCAATAAAAGTAAACATAAAAGATAAAAATTAGAAAATAGGAGAATTGGGGGCACCTGGGTGGCTCAGTCCATTAAGCACTCAGCTTCAGCTCAGGTCATGATTTCACTGTTCATGAGTTTAAGCCCCACAACAGGCTCTGTGCTGACAGCATGGAGCCTGCTTGGGATTCTCTCCTTCTCCTGTTTTTCTCTGCCCCTCACCTGCTTACACTCTCTCTCAAAATGAAAGAAAGAAAGAAAGAAAGAAAGAAAGAAAGAAAGAAAGAAAGAAAGAAAGAGAAAAGAAAGGGAAAGAAAGAAAAGAAAGGAAAGAAAGAAAAGAAAGGAAAGAAAGAAAGAAAGAAAGGGTGGAAGGGAAAGAGAAAGAAAATAGAAGAATTGGAGTTAAGGTAGTCAAGTATAAAATAAGTTAAAATAATAGAAATAAATATAACTGAAGCATTACTTGTAGATAATGATTGCTAGAAAAATTTTAAAACCTATTACATGGCCAGTTATAAAATAAATACACAAAGAATTGTTGCTGCTGTTTTATTCTAACAGAAACCATTTAGTCATAAGTAATATTTCTGGAATAGTCCTTATTTGCCAGACATTGTAAACACAAAATAAATTGTAAACACATAAATATTGCACGAGATGTATAAGAGGTACATGAAGAAAACTCTAAAACTTAGCTAAGCAGTGCAGAAAAAGACAGACCAATAAATATACTATAAATATACTCTGCTCTTGGGTAGAAAGATTCCATGTTACATCCTAATGCAGTTAATGCATTAAGTGCAATAACGATAAGTTTGCAACATTTTTCAGGGAATTGGACGAAAGATTGCTAAATTTTATCTTGAAGATTACTAAAAATGGCCAGGAAAATTCATATGATAGTAATTCAGGACAGCACACAGAGAGGTTCAGTAAATTTAAGCAAAGACAGAAATGTAGTTTATGTGATAAAGTTGACTTCTAATCTGTAGATTGGAAGTGTATTCTTTAATAAAGCGTTATAGCACTGACAAGCCACTCTGAAAAAAATATTAAAATGGATATTTGCTCTTCACCAAAATATATTGGATTTTTAAAGTTGTAATATAAAATAATGAAACTAGAAAGTTAAAAAGAAAAAAGAAGAAAAGAAGGGTCATCTTTTGTCCTAGCCTTAGACTAGGTAAGGGCTTTCTTAACGTGATACTGAAGGTTTTAGTAGGTGAAAATCATAATGAATGATATGATTACATTAGATATAATAATAAATGAAAATGAAGTATGGAACTTCAGTACGGTAAACAAAAATAAACAAGATCTTTTTTTATAGGTTGAATTTTTTTTGCTTTTTCAAGTTTTTATTTAAATTTCAGTGAGTTAACATACAGTGTAATATTAGTTTCAGTGTAATATTAGTGATTCATCCCGTATATACATGCTCATCACAAGTGCCCTCCTTAATCCCCATCACCTATTTCTCCCATCTCCCCCCCACCTCCCCTCCAGCAACCCTCAGTTCGTTCCCTGTCATTAAAAATCTGTTTCCTGGTTTGCCTTTCCCCCCCCCCTTCCCCTATGTTCGTTCATCTGTTTTGTTTCTTAAATTCCACATAGGAGTGAAATCATATATCTGTCTTTCTCTTACTGACTTACTTCACTTAGCAAAATACTCTCTAGTTCCATTCATGTCATTGCAAACGGCAGGATTTCATTCTTTTTTATGGCTGAGTGCTATTTCATTGTATAGATCTACCACACCTTCTTTATTCACCGGTCAATGGATAAACTAAACAAGATTTAAAGGCACACAACTAGGGGCGCCTGGGTGGCGCAGTTGGTTAAGCGTCCGACTTCAGCCAGGTCACGATCTCGCGGTCCGTGAGTTCGAGCCCCGCATCAGGCTCTGGGCTGATGGCTCAGAGCCTGGAGCCTGTTTCCGATTCTGTGTCTCCCTCCCTCTCTGCCCCTCCGCCGTTCATGCTCTGTGTCTCTCTGTCCCAAAAATAAATAAACGTTGAAAAAAAAAATTTTTTTTTTAAAATAAAAATAAAAATAAAGGCACACAACTAGGACAAGTTGTATATAACAAAGAATAATGTCTCTGAATAAACCAGACACTCAAGTAAAAAAAAAAAAAAATTAGAGATGAACAGGCAGGTCGCACAAGGAATACTGCCCATATCCAAGGAAATGATGTCAGCATGGCCAGTAATAAAATACATGAAAATGTAACAAATTGCAGTTTCCATGCCTTAGGCTAGGAAAAGTGACGAGAAACCCCAGCACTGGCAGTGGCGTGGGGAAGAAAGAGCCAGCTTCCTGAACTGTGCAGGGAATGTCTATTGGCTTCCCCTGCTGGAGATCCTGTTCCCCATCTGTACCAAAAGTACACCTTGGACCCGGCACCCCAATTCTGGACATGGATCCTCAACAGATAATCATTCACGTTGTTCGCTGCCATGTTGTTTCTACTAGTGATAGATTGGAAACGGCTGAAATGTTCGTCCATAGGCATGTGAGCTCAGTAAACAAGAGTTATGTGCAAATAATGAAACAGGATGCGGCCTTCTAAAAGAATGCTAGGTAGATACTGCAGGTCACATTACAGAGTAGGTAAACACTCACAAGAGATTGTTTAGTGGAAAAAGAAGCTTAAAAGCAGAGCATATCTTAGAAAATTGGGTGCTGTCATACGCACACAAATAGCGAGTGTTGAAAAGAATGTTCACCTAAATGTTAGCAGTGGTTACTGTAATGTCATGAAATCAGAAGGGCCTCCTGTTCTTCTTTAGGATTTCTAGATTATTTAATTTTTTTGTAAGAAGCACACATTTTTGTAATCAGGAAAAAACACACACGCACCTACTTTTCATCTTGAACAACTCCCAGAGTCCATTTTGGGACCTGAGTTATCCTGTGTCCTGTCTACGCTGATTGGGCTAGCCATATAGATGCCTGGGCAGGGCACACCAGAGCTGACAGCGCTGGCCACCGGGGGCCCCAGTGACTCACTTGGGCGCCGCGGGCAGGCAGGGAGGCCCAGAGCAACAGGCGGAGGTGGCTCCCCGGGGCCCCCAGTGACGTGTTCAGTTGCCTAGACTGGGATCCCCCGAGCACACCAAGCAGGGACAGATGGGGACAGGAGGTGCAAGAGGGCAACTGGGACGGGGCAAGGGTTCCTCTGTTGGCTCAGAAAGCGGGGCTGAGGCGGGAACGAGGCGGTGGACAAAGACACGTTCTAGAGTGTTAGGAACACTCTAGAGTGTTAGGAAGCGGGAGCTTCCCGATCCCCAGGATAATGAGTCGCGCATCCTCCAACCATCTTCTTGACAAACCGCCTTCACCGGCGCTTACCGGAAATTTTCCTTTGGATCAGCTCTCACTGGCTTTTGTGTCTCTACATAAACGCATTGGAGAGAGAGACCTAATGATCGTTACCACTGGAAACCAATTTCATTTCCCGTGAAAAGTGGGTAACCTCGTAAAGAGAGGAACGGCGCAGTGGAATGAAAACAACAAAGAGAGGGTTTACGGTGCTCTCGGCCGAAGGGCCGTGGGCCGAGCCCGCGCCCACTCACGCTCCTTGTTAACACGGGGGATCAGCACGTCCGAGGAAGGTCTCAAAGGTGCGCTGGCTCAGAACTGAGCCTCGCTCCTCGGTGGGAAGGGAGAAGCCTTCTCACCGCACGTTGCGCCTTGCTGTCCACGTGCCCCACGAGACCCACGAGCCACCGGCGGAGCACGCGCTCCCGGGAGAGCGCGCAGATCCAGTCCAGCGTGATCACCCCGGAAGGGCCCCTCCACTATGTGCCTCCCCTCTGCTCCCGCCCCCTCGGGCCGTGATGAGCGGAGGGAGTCTCGCGCGGGGCGGGATCGGCCGTGGTCTGGACGTCACGGGTGCCGCCCTTGGCCCGGTCTGCAGGCCTTCGAGGACATCTACCTAGAGGAGCGGAAGACCATCAAGGTTCTGCTGGAGTATGCTGACAAGATGTTCACCTACGTCTTCGTGCTGGAGATGCTGCTCAAGTGGGTGGCCTACGGCTTCAAGAAGTACTTCACCAACGCCTGGTGCTGGCTGGACTTCCTCATCGTGGACGTGAGTGTGGACCGGAAGGGACGGGAGGAGGGGAGCTCGGTTGCCAGGGTGGGAAGGAGCTGAAGCGGAGGGACGGAAGGGCAGAATGACAGGGCAGGGGGGGAGTCCGCAGGCCCACGCGGAAGCACGCGGCTGGGCCGCAGAGCAGGCAGAGGGGAAGGAGGCCACGCCCCCGTCGCAAGAGAGACCCAGGCCCCGCCCATAACGTTCCCCGTCTGGGGGGAATCGGAGCGTGGGTCTGGCCGTCAGCACCCCGGTTTTGGGAGACAGAGGAGCGGGGGGTGGGGGGAGACCGAGGCTTCTGGGGGAGACTGGACTCCCTAAGGGGGAGAGTGAGGAGCAGTCCAGGCAGGAGCGCGAGCCAGGGCAGGGGTGGGGCCCCCTCCCAGGAGGGCCGGAAGTCAGGGGGCAGACCAGCCTGTATCAGAGCACCCGCTACGCGTCTTGTGAAGCGGCTGTCAGGCCCACTAGTTAGGTCGCCGGTTCGGATCCTCTGCGCCCACACATGGTAGGAGGCCGTGTGCACAGAGTGAGCCAAAGGCCAGAGGGGACAGGGCCGGTGAAGGGATTGTGGTCAGGCAGCGGGCCATCCTCCGGGCTCAGGTAGAAGGTACCACTTGGGGAGGATGAGAAAGGGGTACAGGAAGGCAGAAAGCCACGAACGCTGGCTGAGGGGTTCTGGGTGGGTGCCCTGGACAATTGGGGAGGCGGGCACAGCTTCCCTGCCTGTCCCGGGAGGGTGGAGGGCGGGAGGCGCCACGTCTTCTGAGCGCCCGGTTGGCAGATGGAGCAGGGGTGGGGGGCCTGCCCCACGGCTACCCAGGCCCCAGGACGCTGCCGGGTGCCAAGCACGATGCGTGCAGGGTCCCCCTGGGCTCCTGAGCACAGTGGCGTGTGAGAAGAGCCAGAGGAGCCCGAGAGCAGGGTGTGGAACAGCCTCGGGCCTGCACTCACTGAGGGCAGAGGGGACAGCCAGGGGCTCAGGTGAGGGCTCGCCATCTGGTTGCAGCGGGTCCTACAGAACAGAAGGTGGGTCCACATCCGAAGCCGGGTAAGAGCTTTCGGGAGGGCTCCTGTGGCTTCTGGGCTTGGCCTTAGGCTCCGCCCACCAGCAGGGGCGGTCCTTCACGTGGCTGCAGAAGAGGCTCAGGTCTCTGTTCAGTCCCCCCACCCCACACCCCACTCAGAGGTCACAGGGAGGGACTCAGCCTTGCTGGGGGGCCAATCCGTGGGTGGCCGTGACAGGAGAGGCTCTTTGGGTTAGCGTGTGCATGGAGTCCTCAGAGCCTCCCTGAGAGGGAGGAGAGGGCCTGGGAGGCCTCCTGCCCCAGGGCCGTGGCCGAGCCTGGGATCCTGGCGCCTCTGCCCCGAGGCCCCCACCCAGCTATTTCTGCAGCTTCTTGGGAATACGGGTCTGCCGAGCGACTCCCCTCGAGGAAGGCAGGAGGCGGTTTGCAAAGACTCCTGGGGAAGCCCACCGAGCCCCTCCCACCTGCCACCGTGGGGAGCTCAGAGCTGAGGCCGGGCAAAGGGGACTGTCAGTGCTTCTTGCCCAGTCCCAGAACTGGAGAATTAGCCTGCGGAGAAGGAAACCGAGGCCCACAGCAGAGAGGGGCCTTGTCCGAGGTCAAGGAGAAGGAAGTGGAGAAGGAGAAAAAGGAAGTGGAGAAGGAAAGGGGATGAGGAGGGCCGGGACTCTGGCGAGGGGGAGGTGTAGATTACAACTTTAAATCGGCCGGCCAGGGTGGGTCCACTGAGACGACGTTGGAGCAAACGTGAAGGAAGTTACGGTCAGCCGGGCAGACATCTGCAGAACCTTCCAAGCAGAGGTTGGAGGGGCCGTGCAAAGGTCCTGGGGTGGGAGCGTGCCTGGCATACTCGAGGAACGGCAAGGGGGCCCGAGTGGCTGGAGCAGACTGAGTGGGGAAGGGAGGTACAGGAGATGAGGCCAGGCTGCAAGGGGCCGAGGGGAAACCACAGGCTTCTATTTAGAACGAAGTGGGAAGGCATTGCAGCGGCTCTGAGCAGAAGAATGACATGTTCCTGAAGGAGCACAGGGGCTGCGGGGGGGGGGGGGGGGGGGGGGGGGGGGTGAGGCCCACGTGGAGGCAGGGAGGAGGGTCAGGAGGCTCTGGCAGCGGTCCAGGGGAGAGATGACCGTGGCCTGGCCAGCGTGGTGGCAGTGGAAGTGGTGAGAAATATTTGGACTTCTGATGTATTTTGAAGGCAGAGCCAACAGGAAATCCTGCCGGGTTGGACGCAGGGTGTGAGAGAGGGAGAGGAGGCGGGGATGACGCCAAGGCTCGCGGCCTGAGCAGCTGGAAGGAGGGAGCTGCGGTCAGCTGAGATGGAAGGGCTCTGAGTGGGGCAGGGGCCCAAGCTTTGAAAGCACAGATGACCAGGGTGCGCTGCTGGGCAGACTGGCCCGACCCGGTCCCTGGGCCATAGACGCTCCGCTTGTGCCTGCCGTCTTTGAAGATGGCCGATGGCGAGACGTCCGGCTTTGGGGGAAAGCCCCAGGATGGCCTGTCTGCTCACGGTCAACCCAGGATAGTCCTCCCTTCCCAAAAGGAATTTGACCTGAAGGCAAGCCCGCGGGGACCAAAAGCCCAGGCTTTGTGTGCCTGTCCCTCCATGCCAGCGGCTGGCTTTGGAACTCGGTTTTCTACAAGAGAATAGGGATAAGGCACCCCAAGTCCTTGGGTTAGTGAGTGCACAGAGCAGGCCCTTAGTAAAGATCTGAAAGCGGGGACACACTGGTCTCACACCCAGCCTCGTGGGCCCCAGCAAGGCCAGCCCAGGGCACGGCAGCCCGTGAAGACGACGCAGCCAGAAATAGCAAAGATTAGACGCGGGGAAAGCCTGCTGGCCCTCTGACACCAGCCGTGCTTTAGGTGGGCCAGGAGCCCTCCCACCTGCCTCTAGCGCTGTCCCCATGGCTCTCCCGCCCTCCTTACCTCCCACAGGTCTCGCTGATCAGCCTGGTGGCCAACACCCTGGGCTTCGCAGAGATGGGCCCCATCAAGTCACTGCGGACGTTGCGTGCTCTCCGACCCCTGCGAGCCCTGTCCCGATTTGAGGGCATGAGGGTAAGGGGAGTGGCTGCTTTCCTGCCAGGGCAGTGGGAGGTGACTCCACCGAGGGGCCCCCATGTTCACCTGCTGACCAAGCGGCCCAGCCCGGAGCTGGGACTGTGGGCCCCCCGCCCCGGCCCCAGTTGGAGCATGGTGCAAAACCTCCAGGACAGGGTCAGCTGGGCTCACAGGCACCCAGAGGGTGGAGAGCTGTGAGATCCCTCCCTCGAGGCCTGTCACCTCCAGCCCCGTGGGCCCCGCGAGGGCCAGGAGAACCCGACAAAGAAAAAGAAGTGAGGTCTGGGTGTGGGTTTCTCGGCTGCCGCCCAGCCCCACTGGCCAGGGAGCCCCTCTGCTTCTGCTCTGGGGCGGGGGCCATCCGTGTGCCCATCTGTGGGCCCTGCCCTCCAGCAGACACAGGCTGTCCTCCTTGGTCTGCGATGGGCAGTAGGGCCGTGGTCATGAAGGTCGAGGAAGCAGAGGAAGCAGCTATATTCTCAGCACCAGCTCTTAGTTGTCATTTGCTTAGTAAACTCTTACACGGGTTTCTTTTTCGTTTTTAATTCTTTTCTACATTTATGTATTTCTGAGAGACAGAGTACAACTGGGGGGAGGGGCAGAGAGAGACGGAGACACAGAATCCGGAACAGGCTCCAGGCTCAGAGCCGCCAGCACAGAGCCCGACTCGGGACTCGAACCTGCAAACCGTGAGATCCTGACCTGAGCCGAAGTCAGACGCTTGACCGACTGAGCCACCCAGGCGCCCCTACGCGGATTTTTAAGTACAGAGCCCTAAGCATTTTTCAGGTCACCAAATTTTACCAAATATGGCCACGCAAGGCAAATTTAAAAGCCCCACCAAGAAAAAAACTTTACCTGTCATACGTAGCAAGAAAACACGCACGTACGTGTACTTGTGTGCGCGTGTGTTTTGCATTACTTGTTTTTTTACAAAACATACACAGTTCTGTTGTGGCTTCAGCAGCCACATCTGTGTGCCGGAGTCTCGCTGACCTTGCAGACACTGTCACACCGCCCCCATTTTGTTGGGGTTTTATTTTTTAACTTTTTTGTCCTTTTCTTTTGATTCTAGTTAGTTAACATAGAGTGTAGTATTGGTTTCAGGAGCAGAATTCAGTGATTCATCACTTGCATGTAACACCCAGTGCTCGTCCCAACAGGTGCCTTCCTTATTGTCGGTTCTGACCTTTGCCCACACCCCCAAGAGAGAAACAAGTCACTTATTCCTGGTGGGAAACCATTCGCAAGTCCTGCCTAAGCCAAAGGTCTCTTGGGAGCGAGGGCATCTGTTTCCAGAGCGACACGGGGCGATGCGAGCTGCCAGGAACGCCTCTGTTGTGGCTGTTGGCCACAGAGCCGGCCGAGGGCAAACCTGGGCGTTGGGTGTCCCACCCTGTTCGTCACGCCTGCCGGGACCGGGGGCCCTCTCTCATCTGCATGTGTCGCACTGCCCGTCCAGCCCCAGGCCCACCCCACAGCCCCGCACCAGCCTCCCTTCCCGTCTGCACAGCAAACACCTTCCCGACTCCCAGACAGCTGGGTGCTTGGGCCCTCAGTGGAGCAGAGTGCCCCCTATGCTTTTGCCAAGGGAGCTTCTGCTGGGCACTGTGAGTTTCGATGAAGAGAACGACGCCAGGGCTCCATGGGCTCAGAGAGCCGCTGGCTGCCAGGAGGGAGAGGGGCACCGGGAGCGCCCACACGCCCTGCCCTCCCCGCTCTGCTCTCACCGCAGCCCCGGAGAGCTGCCAGAGCACCCGCCAGACATGCCGCACAGAGGTCCCCTGGGCGTGCTTTAGGGAGAACGCCCATCCTTCCTAGTAGCAGCAACCCCAAAATAAGCCAGAAACTTAGCTCAGAGAATGTGTCTCCGGAGGCCCTTTCCCATCAGATCGCCGGCACACTCAACCAGACAGACCCTGTTGAAAATTCAGTTTGAAGGTCATGGATTCAGGGCAGGACCAAAAACATAAGAAAGGTGTCCGTGTGTGTTCTCTCCCCCGCCCCGCTCTCCATCATCTCTCCTTTTACTCCCCATCAGGGCTTCCAGCCAGGGGTGGCCCTTCCTTGGGGACAGGAAGTGTTCCCCCCCCCCCCCC